TCGAGGGTCTGCCCAATCAGTTCGAGATCGTCACTGATCACAAGAACCTCGAATACTGGCGCACGTCCCAGCACCTCACGCGTCGTCAAGCGCGATGGTCGCTGTTCCTAGCGCGCTTTGACTTCTGCATCACGCATAAAGCCGGGACGTCCAATGGAAAGGCTGATGGCCTGTCACGTCGATCAGACCATCAGATCGGTGATGAGGACGATAACACCGATCAGGTGGTTCTCAAACCAGAGCGCTTCCGCATCGCCTCCGCCAGGCGCGGCCATGCCTCGGTAACGGCCGATCAGTCGCTTCTGAAGCGCATTAGGGAGTGTTCGGATAAGGATCGGGAGGTGGCCGAGGCACTTGAAAAAGTACAGGACCTCGGGCCGCCCCGGCTGCAAAGGGGTTTTGAGGAGTGGAATGCCGAACAAGGGCTTCTGCTGTTCCGCGGATGCGTGTACGTCCCAAAAAACGCAGAGCTCCGGTGGGATATAGTCAAGATCCACCACGACTCGCCGATTGCCGGTCATGGCGGCCGTGCCAAAACCCTGGAGCTCGTGTCGCGGAATTACTGGTGGCCAGGAATGTCTAAATTCGTCAATGAGTACGTAAGCACCTGCGACGTGTGCAACCGTACAAAGACATTCCCAGCCAAACCCCAGGGTCCGCTGAAGCCGAATGAGATCCCCAAGCGCCCATGGCAGATCATCACGACCGACATGATCGTTGGCTTGCCGAAGTCTGATGGATTTGACTCGATCCTGGTCACCGCCGACCGCTTTACCAAGCAGGTCCACTTCTCGGCCTGTCATGAGACCCTGACGGCAGAAGGTGCGGCAGACCTGTACATCCGCGATGTGTTCAAGCATCATGGGGCCCCGGCCAAGGTCATATCAGACCGAGGTCCCCAGTTTGCTTCAAAATATCTCCATGCGGTGTACAAGGGACTAGGGATTGAGCCAGCGCTGTCCACAGTGTTCCACCCTCAGACGGACGGCCAGACGGAGTGCTGGAACCAGGAAATCGAACAGTACCTGCGTGCTTTCACAAACCATAGGCAGGATGATTGGGCAAAGCAGTTGCTGCTCACGGAATTCGCACTGAACAACCGAGTTCACTCCACGACCGGGCATTCCCCTTTCTTCCTGCATCAAGGGTACCATCCTGAGATCCAAGTGCGGATCAATCCGATGTCTGCGATGCCTGCGGCCGCTGATCGGCTCAAAATCCTGAAGGAGATTCGCGACGATACGCGCTCTGCGCTCGAGCTGTCAGCCGAGCGTATGAAAGTGTACTACGATAAGCACGTGCAAGAGGCACCGGTCTTCGTGCCGGGGGACAAGGTCTGGCTTGATGCTCGGAACCTTAAGCTGAAACAGCCGAGCAAGAAGCTCAGTCCCAAACGCCTTGGACCATATGCTGTGCGGCGGAAGCTCGGAGACCTGGATTACAAATTAATCCTGCCGAAGTCGGTGCCGGTGCACCCGGTATTCCATGTCTCCTTGCTGAGCAAGTACACGCGTAGCGATATCCCGGGCCGAGAGCCGGAGGAGCCGCCTGCAATCGAGGTTGAGGGCGACGAGGAATATGAGGTTGAGCGGATCAAAGATTCGAGGATCTTCCGGCATCAGCTGCAGTACCTCGTCAAGTGGAAGGGTTATGACGACTCGCATACGTCATGGGAACCGGCGCGCAACGTTGCCAATGCGCCGGCCCTCATAGCCGACTTCCACCGGAAGAATCCAAACGCCCCTCGCCGCCTCAACGCTGCTACCTTTGGTGGTCTCAACTTTCAGCCAATGCCTTCGCCGCTGACTGAAGCACGATGCCGCTCCAGGTGGGAGATGGGCAAGGGCACCTCGCATGAGGTCATGCGCCGTTCAGGGGGGGGTAATTGTCACGAGTTGACACGGCGTCTAGCCGCTTTTTAATTTTTTCCTTTTCGCGGGCTCGAACCCGCGACCTCTGTACTACATACCCGATATGGACGCGTTGTTATCTACTGTACGATCAGATTAGATAGGACGGCAGTGCACGGCACAGCTCGGGCTCCGCTGACACAGCTGCTCTGACTCACCGGCCCCCGGGGCTGCGTCAGCATGCTGCGCACGGACCAGCTGCGCACGGACCAGCACGCACAGCCTGCCCTTATCTCCCCATGTATATAAGCCGGCCTCTGCTGCCCTAGGGACCTCAGTTTCGACCTCTTGTCCCTAGGTCAGTAAGCTCCTTTGTATCCTTTACTTACCTTTACTAACTAATACATTTCTTGTCCCTAGCCTTAGGTTTGAGCACCGCTCACCATTGCTTCGGTGAGATTTAGTCGGACACCCCCAGCTCTTAGGTCTTCCCCTGTCGCTTGACCTCAAGTTGCGACAGCGGCTATGTCAGCGGAGCCCGAGCTGTGCCGCGCACTGCCATCCCATCTAATCTAATCGTACAGTAGATAGTGTTGTGTCCATATCGGGTATGTAGTACAGAGGTTGCAGGTTCAAGCCCGCGAAAAGGAAAAAATTAAAAAACGGCTAAACACTGTGCCAACTCGTGACAACACATGATATAGGTATCTGCCCCAGATGGGTCACAATACGTTGCAGTATGCGGCAGCACAAAATCCATGTAGTGAAGGATCTGAACACCATCATATTCCTGCATTGTAAGGGTGTTCATGAACCAAGTCGAACTCTCGCACCGAGGTGCCTACATCGACCAGATGAACCTGTACGACAAGCTCTGACCATCTAGCAAGGCAGAGTATCCAGGTCTGTTTGACTCACTCATAATTGTGGGAATGTGAGTACAAAGCCTGCACACAGCGCAAGGAAGCAAGTTTGAAGTACGAAATTCGCCACTCTGGCACCGTGTGACAGTGCTCGAGCGATCCGGCGGCAACGTCACGCGATGGCTACAACAAATTTGAGCGGAGTCTAAAAGTGACCCTGTCGACCGCCGAGGAGCCACGCGCCTCTGAGCGAGACTTCAGCTCTCAGAATGTACGCTACGATTCCTATAATACTATCTGGTGATATGACCGGGCATATAAACACGCATCCCTTTCTCTGAAAACGGTCGCACAGGTATCTAGTGATGAATCCGCGGCACAAATCGAACAGACCTCTTCCGGATAATTTCGTTAAAGATAGGAGCATCCACTGGTGAATCATAGTAGTACGAGACTTCGAGTGGCTCACGCTTTGTGTCCTAGCAACCATTTCCGGTCGCCACCGGCATCAGTAACAAAAACGGACTTCCCCTTGCTCGCCGGTTTAGGAAGGAGAACAAGGTAGAAACATTGTTCTGTGGCGTGCGCTTCAGTTCATATAAAAGCTTCCCTTACTTTGAGAGTCGTAAGCTTTGTTCTTGTCGACATCCTCTCTACACCCCTGCAGTGGATTCAAGTATGGAGACTAAGCAGTCGAAGCCACGAAATCCACTCGCGTCCATCCGTCGCATCTCGGGCGCGAGGCGAGTCAAAGTCACTGTGTATGGAAAGATTTATACGGCACTCGTTCCCCTGCCGATACCATTCAACGAGAGACAGCCAATTCCCCAGATAGCATATATACCACCGCTGTTCGTTCACAACACTCTTTCAATCCAATTACCGTTCATCAATTTCGACTGGTCTGGGAACCCATACCGTTCTGGCATCCGCCCTATCGACGTCGGGCACATTTACACGGAGCAGCTGACAGAATGTATGGAAGGTGGCCGGGACCATGTGTTTGCACACGTCCCGTTTTCCAACATTATATTCTTGTTCCAATTTGAGGCAAGTTCTTCTTCATCAAGTGGCGCCTGCTGACTGTCTAATTGTCCCACCTAGTGGTTTTCACCTTCACATACGTTCTATTTCACCCTCGAGATAGGTGATCCAAACCGGCTTACCCGGGCGCAGCTATTGGTGAAGACTCGTGATATTTTTCTCAGTCTTTTGAACGTACGTGTCCTCTAATCAGGGTTGTTCACTTGGCTCAACTTCTCAACTGTACCGTTACAGAGCCGAGGGACACCCGATCCAGTGTACGACCGAGGGGTTCAACTTCTTTTGGCGGCCAAGGGCGTGAAGTACGACGGAATGATTATGACGGGTATCTCACAGCTACACGGGAACATCTTTCGCGTCCACTGTGACACGTGGCTTGAAAGTTCTGCGGAGCCTTCTCCGTGAAATGCTGATCCCTAACGCTGCGCAATTGACACGATAGATGGGTACTGCAGCAATAATTAGACACTAAACGTAACGTAGGGACCTTTACGATATATTCTATGTTGACTAGGGACGATTGTGTGGTCTTCACGGCTTGCTTGCCTAGAACTATGGCTGAACATATTGATCTCGAGGTAATTTGTGACTCACCTCCGCACACCCCGGGGCACTATGAGAGTACCCACGCCCATAGAGCGGACACACCAGCCATGCGACAAGCTCCTCTACCACAACGATGTCGGGTGTGTCCCTGCGCGTCGAATCGGGTATGATCCATTATGAGGCGAGTGACGTGGTGAAAAGGCAGGAAGCCGACGTCTGTATGTACACTGGAGCATAAATATAACGCAGCATTCAAACGCGTAGTCAAATGAGTAAGTAAGCAGGAGACTCACCATTGAAGAGGATGTTAAGGCAGACCCGCCATATATGACGCGCGAATAGACTAGTATGAGGAAAAGCGGAAGATATGTCTGCGTAATAGTATATAGAGATAATAGCGGGGGGCACGAATAGTGGCATCGTCATAGTAAAATGCGTCTTTATAAGCGGAGGATGCGCCACCGCTATGACCTCGATAACTAGCCTTGACGCGGCCAACAAGTTTGCTTATTGTTATGACGCCACTGTGTGTCATAAAACATGTTGTCAGCACTATATCCATGTTTCAAGAATTGACACCGCACAACAACGACGATTTCCCTCGTGGATCTGGTCGGTGGGCAGACGTTCGGAAGAGTGCACCTCACACATTCCATATTCAGAAAATGTCACGACACCGTGCTGAAAGGTGTTGTTATGCTGGCTCTCGCGGAAAAAGAGTGGTGTTCGCATATAGGGCTCATGTGGCACATCCTGGAGCAGTGCTGTACCCGCCGGCGGGCCCGTGCGTGGAGAATATGAGTCGAATTGACACTTCCGATCATTGCGTTTGGCGAACGTAGCAGTGCTCATATGCATCGTGTATCTGCGTTCGGAGAGGATCTACACAGGCGGCGCTGAGATTGAGTTCAACCCGGGTTCATCAAACAACACGCTCAACCCAGGATGGACCGGGTTTTTCCCCGAATTGGCACCGCCGGGTCTTTTCTGATTCAGCCTGGCATTGGGTAAAACCTGGCACCCGGTGACCTGCGCCACGCCAGGTTCAGTGGACGGGCCGGACAATGCCGCTATTCCGCGAGCACCCCATAATTCCCATAAAATAATTCAAATAAATGATATATATATTATCCTGTATTCTACGGACATTCGACAGCAGCGCAAACCAATAGCTAATAGCTACATATATACAAGTGTGTTCAGTATGTCAGTAGGTCAGTATGTCAGTAGGTCAGTAGGTCAGTAAGTCAGTAGGTCAGTAAGTCAGTATGTCAGTAAGTCAGTAAGTTCGGACGTCAGTAGGTTGGGACATCAGTATTGTCAGTATATGATTAGTGCGTCGCTATTGTCAGTGGTATGTCAGTCTTGTCAGTCTTGTCAATATCATGTACTCCAGTCGGCCACAGGTGCAGGGAGTTGAGGAAGAAAAACGACGACTCACGCTGGAAAATGCGCAGTCACAATGTGTTACCCAGGTCACATGACTGTGACCTCAAGGCCGTCAGTGTCCGCAACTGCGGACAGGACTGGCGGCATAGGACGAGCGACACGCAGGACGACGAGAATAAGAGCGACGAGAAAACGAGGGCAGAGGAGCGAATATATACGAGGGCGGATGCAAGCCAAGGGTGGGGTGGCCCCTATCCATGGCCTGAGGGAGTTTCAGCGCCGGCCCCATGCTTGCGGGCTTTGGGTTTTCCCCGACTCCCTATGCCGAGCTGACGTCGGGATCGGGGCGGATGGGCGAGGGGCCAAGAGGACGTGGGTTAAACCCAATCCGGGGACTCCGGGTGACCCCGGGGCGTGGGAACTCAGGTTAGACTCGGGACCAAGCTCTGGCAGTGTAAGAGACGGATCACGCCCGGCGTTTGCCGAGTCCACGTGGAAGTGCGATCATAGAGCGCTTGGTGTGTGCACAGCCTCCCTGCGACCCTTAACCACTGTGAAAAGCTGAGAACGCCTATTGTTGATACGAATGGACTGAGACACTGGGAATTTCTCAAAATCACCTTTAAGCCTGCTATACGCGTTGTCTGAGGTACCATAGACCTCACCGCTCGCTGTCTTCTCATGCCTGCCCTTATTGCCCGCACCTTGACGCACTCTCTGAAAGTATTCGAATCGCTTCTTATTTGTCTCTCTAAGTACCACTGATGTAGTGTCTGTTAAGTCCTCATGGTGGTTGAAGAAATTCATGGCTACGCGCACGGGTTCGTTACCACTAAACATTCCGAAATCTACTTCAGCCCGCTCGCTCGTCCTCGCCGCAATCGCTGCCATCGAGCACGCCGACATCCTGCGGTAGGGCATCCCATCCATCTCGTCCTCGTGCAGAAACCCATGCAGGAAGTCCAGGACCTCCTTGCTCAAGCTCAAATCCCCCACCCGGCTGCTGCTCGCCGAGCTCCCGTCGCCGAGTTGCTCTCCCGCCTCAGCTTAGCACAGCGCTTCAAATGATCCTCGCACCCGTTTTCGCCTTTGCGGTGACATTTGAGCGCATCTACCCGAAGGAAACACATTTCGCATGAACTGCAGACGTGCTTGCTGATCTTGAAGCATTGCAGTAGGTGACGGCGGAAATCGTATCGGGTCTCGAACGACCATTCGCAACCCGGACAAGGGCAAGCAAATCGCCTCTTTCCATCGTGTGGCTCCCTTTTCTTCTTTTTACGCTTGTTTGCGTTTGCGTCTGAATCGGCGTTGGAATCAGTACCAGCGTATCCATCGTTGATACCGCCAATGCTACTGTCCAGCCTCTTCCTCTTGGCCGCGCGACCGGACTGCGCTCTTCCGCATCCAGTTTCAGCTGAAGGCACAGGCTCGAGAGTGTTGGCGCATGAGACAGCACGTCCCTTGCGCTTCTCCTCTGCAGTGGCCGCCGAGTCCGTGTATCTGTGGCCTGTGGGAGTCGTTCGGACACCTTCGCTGCGTGCGGCCTCGGAAGCGAACGTTGCTTCTGCTCGCGGCTACCTGATTGTGGTCTCCGCGTGCGCGAATGAGGTGCGAGGAAAGTCCCTGTGGACGTCGTATGCGCCCATTCGTGCTTCCGAGGAGTTTCTGTGTCGACGTATTTTTTGTCGTTGTCGTCGCTACTGCCATTTTCGCTGTATGAATCGACAAGCCTTTCGAATGAGGTAGCATCGTGTATAATGTTTGCTTTTCATTGCCCACCATGAGCGGGCAAAGGAAGGCTACATAATACACGTCAGTTGTCTATACACTCGAAGTCACATAGTGCAACAGTAGTCTTACCATCTGATAGATTAGTTGCAGGATCGTGCGCCTCGTAGTGCTGAGACGGGTGGGCGCGAACAAGAGATCGCCGAAGAGTGGCGGTACTGTTAGTGGATCTGGGTAAGGTAGATGCGGTAAAACCCACCTGCGGTATACATTCGCGATGTTTTGATAGGTCTAGGATGATCCCTAAGGGATTCATGGATGGTGTCTGTGCGATTGCCCACAACGGCTAGGTTGTGATGTCTATCAGCTATGGTGTCGGAGATGGCGACTAAATGCATATACAGATGGGTTTACTTCATACAGGCGTGCCTGCAATGCTCCATCGAAGAACCCTTGGTACCCTGAATACTCAGAGATCTCCCTGCGCTGCATGGTCGAGCTTTGGTCATGATCGGGAATAGGGAGACCGGGGGACTGTTTGTCGTGGGGTTGAATACCGAGTAGCGATGTCTCCGTCGAGCAATTGCAGAGGCATGACCTCGTGAAATGGCGGAGCTGATGCTCCATATTACAGTAGTCGTTCATGATGGTGCTGCTCTTATCGGACCATGTGACCAGTACTTCCTCCTTGCGCTAGTATCCGTTGTCAGCGTGGCAACTGCGATGTACAGCGAGCGTCACGTACTACCAATGCGGCGTCATACGGGAAGGCATATTCTAGATCTTCAAATGATTGCACGATTGGAATGTATAGATCATTCTCGTCGACCTTATTATTCCATGGGCTGGAAGCATGAGTGAGTACAGGCTGGCGGCTTCAAGGTTTAGTGAAATCACTGACTATGCATGCAGAATATCCTCGACAGCTCGAGTTCGCGCCTTCAATGCGACCTTGAACCCAAGCCCGGAAATGGCCGCTGCAAACGGCAGATTGCGATGGTGGGATGCGAGTATGAGGCTGTCGGTGAGCAAGCACGCGGAAGCGTGTTCGTCTTCAGAAGCGTTCACAAGAGAATGTACCAGGATCTGAAGGATGGAAAACTCAGGGGACTCCATGATGAGTGGTACAAGCTGAGGAAGATGTCAAAGCGCAGGTGTGACGAACGATTTTGTGGACCTTTGACTTGGACGATCTTCTCCGCTTTCAAAGTCCGCGTATCGAAGGATTGTGCTTATGTATCGGACTTGTAACTGAGCTCGGTGAGGTAAGCCTTTGTTGTCTGATGTCTTCCTTTATTGAATACAAGCAACGGTTCAGGCGCTTACACACACATAAGCAGTATCTTGGAGCAGAGTAACTACTTGTTCGCTATTCCATTTATCACGTCCATTGTATACAATGTAAGTGAGCTGTCCGCGACAGTTTCCAAGAGAAAATGGGCATGGCTCGTCGACAGGTTGCACCGACACCATGCTTCGCGTCACACTACATCCTCCCCGGCGCCGGTGTGATCTATCGCTTCTCGGCCGATTATCTCGAAGACTATCGAACTAGTTGGCCACTGATGCTCACTATTTGAGAATAAACGCTGAAGCTTCCAGGTTCCATGCGCGACGCATCCGACAAAGCTGCCACTACGCTCGTCCTGGAGTGTTTACTACCATGTAATTTTGGTATCCGTTCGTAGATTCTATTTACCCCTTGTAGATACACGACACAATCCACCGCTCAGCTGAAAGAATCTGTCTCATCATTTTTCAGTCGCAGAAAATAAGGCAGCGAACACTATGCGCAGAAAACTGGCGGACATGACCATCTTCTCGCTGATTAAGTGCTACAGACTCGTCAGCCGCACTATCATTCATATGAGTCAACCACTTCAAACGACTGGGGCGACAGCCGACATCGACCAAGGTCTGGTGCGCCCCGCATCTCGCCCACCGGGCACTTACAGAGTATCCTTCAGGAGTGGCGCATCTCTTGCTCTCGGATGTCAATATCATACAGCCTGTACCACGATGACACAACTATTGCTGTTTGCGCCGCACATATGTAGCTGGACTCACGAGGAACGGATAGTAGTTCTATAGACACTTTATTGCGAGCACACATGGTACACTACATAAGCGACGCATGGCGCGGGTAACAGGATAATGTAGATACAATGGTGATAGTCTCGTGAAGGTAGTGGTAGCATTCTGAAAGCTGGAGCGAGTTGATGTGGGAAGACTTATGAGATGTGAGTGTCCTGTGTGATGGTTCGCATGGACCGCACTGTGCCTCTCGGGTCTTGTAGGCCTGTAGGTATGGGTCGTCGCTGATACAAGTATGGTGTGTTTGATGGTTAACATGGCGACTACGTCAAGTCTGATGTCGAAATCGGTGCGACACTTGTTGTGCGACCATGACCAGGCCAATAGGAGTATGATATATGTATGTCATCCCCAGTGGTCGGCGAGCATCTAAGTGTAGGCTGGGCTATTGACGCGAATATTTTCAGACAGAGAGTGCGTCAAGGTGCGGGCAATAAAGGGCAGGCATAAGACGACAGCGAGCGGTAAGGTCTAACGTACCTTTAGACATCGCGTATAGCAAGCTTGGAGGTGATTTTTGAAAATTCCCAGTGTCTCAGTCCATTCGTATCAACAATAGGCGTTCTCAGCTTTTCACAGTGGTTAAGGGTCGCAGGGAGGCTGTGCACACACCAAGCGCTCTATGATCGCACTTCCACGTGGACTCGGCAAACGCCGAGCGTCCATTTCCACTGCTCCGCAGTGTCCGCCAGTAGTTCATCTCTCAGATTCTCTTCCAAACGCAAACGCACAATGGCTCGAGTCACTCAATCTGGAGCCGTATAATGCATGTAGCGCTCCGTTTACCGTATTCATACTAATGACGTCAATGGCCAACGGAATAACATCACGCATTTTGAACATTCAACATGGGCCGTTTCTGGTTGTGGGTTCCGCATCTTCGCCAGACATCCCTTCGTATAACTGCCTGTATTTTCCTCATCGTCGCTTTCCTTGCGAGCTTTGCTGTACGGTTTGGCTACACAGGTGCTCCTTTTTCCTATTCGAAGAGCCACACTCATTGACATGGTCATCGATAGAGCTCCCTTTTCCATTCTCTGCAGTCAACCGAAGAGCGGAGAACGCAAGCCTTCATGTTCCTATGTGACGCTCAGTGCGTCGGGTGCCCACGTTTCTTATTCATTTCCTTGGCAGTCGGATCCGGGAGGTAGCGTCCGTTTTTCGCACCCTGAGCGGCATTGTCGGCCGCTTCACGAGTTTGAGCCGACGCAAGGGGAAGAATATCAGATAACCTTTTACGATGTGGATTCTGGGTGAGCTCAAGATGTCGCGGGATGATGTTGCAGACTTTCAGGCACTTCCGCGCGTTTAAACTATTCACAGGAGCACACGACTATCGCGAGGCACGGAGGAGGGATGCCCTGATCCAAGGGCAATAAACCGGCGACCAGTGCTTTAGAGGTTCTCTCATGCATGGTACGATGCATCTCTCAATGTCGTGATGATCCCTATGGGGGCTGACAAGAAAGAATCTCCATGAAGGGCTGGCTGATGCACGCTGATTTTTCTACATAGACGCGGAAAGACGCATTCATTGTAGGTATCAAATTCGAGTATACCCATCAAGCCATGATGCGACATCAGCAGGAAGTGAAGCATACATTATTAGATAACTATCTGATAATATTCGGGAATTCTTGGGGATTATGAGCGGCGAAGTGAAACAAAAGATATTAATGCAAAACAATAGACCCCCACCCGCCTGCCGCTCGCCGAGCTCCCATCGCCGAGCTGCTCTCCCGCCTGAGCTTGATTAGCACAGCGCTTCAAGTGATCTTCGTGGCGAGGTTTTAGCGCATTCATACCATCCGTGGGAGACGCATTCCACATGTACTGTAGATGTGTTTGCTGATCTTGAAGCATTGCAGTAGGCGACGGCAGAAATCGTACCGGGTACCGAGCGACCATTCACAATCCGGAAGAGGGAAACCAAACCCTGCTTTTATGCTCGTTGGCGTCGGAATCGGCCGTATCCATAATTACCACAAATATACCCGAAATCAGACAGCAGACGGCTGTCACGAATTATCCGTATCAATTGTACTATCCAGTCAAGCGCTTCGCTGCTCGAACCTCGGAGGGAAACCCGAGCTATGCGTTCCTCCAGTGGAATTTGAGTAATCCTGCTTCGACCCTGTCTTCAACATCCAGGCAGCCAAGTCGTCTGTGGATGTCCCTGGAGCGCGCATATCCTCATGACGAACAATCTTCAGGCTGCGCAGAATCCTTGCGTTGGGCGCAGGCTGGCTCCGATGTCAATTCCCGAAAGCCTAGGCGAGAGCTGAGGAAGCGTGACCTGAACCATGTCCGCCGCCCTGCTAATTGCTTGATCCTCTTTCGAAGCGCATGGGTGATGAGGTTTCGCGAATCAACATCTGCACTCTTCCCCAAGAATTGTGGTCAAATAATTCGTAGGTCTCATGATCGTAATGTCGTAGCACTCGAGGCTTATAGAAAGAAATGCAGAGGTCACATGGAAGTCATTGCCTCCGGATGAGAAGAGCGTCTTGGAGAGGCGTGCGGAGGAGGTGAAGATGCAGCATATCCAAGCACACCCTGAATACCAGTACAAACTGCAACGTAACGGGAAAAGAATACTCAAATAACTTCAAATTGTACCCGTAAGCAAGTACACAGCAGCGCGTTCATTGTCAGACGAAGCGTCCACAAGAGAATTTTCCAGGAGCTATAGAGTGGCAAAATCGAGGCACTTTGATGGGTGGTACAAGTTCAGGAAGGTGCCAAAGTGTATATGTGGTGAACGGGATTATAGATCCTGGACTTGAACGATCTCACTCACATTCAATGTTTGCGCGCTGAAAGATTGGGCTTAGACATTAGACTTGGAGTTACTCAGGTGAGGTCATCCTTTGTGCTTTTATGTCTTCGCTCTTGAGAGCAAGCGACGGCTTAGGCACTCACACAAGTATCTTCATTTTGGTAAGACAATGTAGTTGCTCACTATTCCATTCATCACTCCTATTGTTTACAATGTAAGTGAACTTGTCGCGACAGTCATCGAGAGCAAATGCGCATGGTTTACGAGGCTTGTCGACAGGTTGCACCGACACCATTCTTCGCATTACACTACAGTCTCCCCGCTGTCGGTATAAATGCTTCTCGGCCACATACCTCGAAGACTATCGACCTAGTTGGCCACTGGTGCTTACTGTTGGAAACGAGGAATGAACGCGGAAACCTCTAGGTATCTCATGGCTACGCTATGTAGAACAGGTTCCATGCACGGCGCCTCTGACAACGCTGCCGCCTAGCTTCATCCTGCAGACAGAGTTTACCATGCAAGCTTACTATCCGTTCGTGTAATTATATTTGCATCTTGCATCCCAGTGACACATTTCATCACTCAGCCGAAGGGGCTTGTCTCAACATACCTCAGCCGCAGAAAACGAGGCAGCTAAGACTATGCCCATAAACCTGGAGGACATGACCACCCGCTCGCCGATTTAGTGCTACAGGGGCATCGACTGTGTAATCCATGAATCGAACTCGAGTTCTAGTACCCTCTCGCACGCGACGGTACGTGTTGATTGTTTGGTCCTGTGTTCCAAGCTCGAATTACTGAGCGCTAGCCCAGACGTGGCCGGCGAAGTCACGTTACCCCAATGGTCTGTTATAACTCGCCGCAACCAGCCACAACGGTCTCTTACCTTTGTCCGCATCCATCACCCGCCTTTGTGAACGCCACTCTCCTCCGCAGACACAATCCACCCGATATCACCTTTACTCACAATAAAGAACTCACATCATCATACACAATGTCGACCCCTTGTGACGAACGCCACTCTGTAGCCAACGCCTCTTCTGCCTTCCCCGTTGATAAATTTGAAGACCAACACGCGGAAGTAGAAGTATCCCAAATCAGCACCTACATTGCCCCTGCCTACGCTGCGGTGGGCAGCCCTGACTGCGCATATTTCGAGTGGGACGCATCGCAACCGGTGCTATCCCAAACCATCTCCGCCAGCCCGCCCTCCCCGATTGCATCCTCCACGAGCCAACCCAGCACTTCGAGGCCGGCCAAGCGTCCTCTCACAGATGACGATGCGCCGCAAGGCTCGCCAAAAGTGCCGCGGCTGGCCAAGAAAGGGGGCTTATCCTCCCCTGACACCGCTCTTACTGAGGTCCAACCTAAGCGCAAGCATGTGCGCAAAAGCAGCAAGGGGCCTAATCATATTCCGCGGCCATTGAATTGTTTTATACTGTTCAAGAATGACTATATTCGGCGGCTGCACGAGTCCGGATACAAAGCGATGTCGAAGGACATCGTGAAGGAAATTGGTGAGTCAAGCCCATCGCTGTATGTATGGCAAGGGTATGACTTATCATTGCGTCGTCGTCATGTAGGCTTGATCTGGCGCTCTCTTCCCTATGATGAGTCTCAGTACTGGAAGGATCAGGCCAAGGGCGTTAAGGGCGAGCATAAAACAGTCTACCCGGGCTATAAATACAAGCCCGTACACAAGAAGAAGACGGGGAGGCCTCCCAAGTGCAAGCCTCGGATTGACGACATTCTTGCAGAGCTGGACGAAAAGGAGGGGAAGGAGAACAACCTGCAGCCAAAGGAAGATATATTGGCTAAGCGACAGGGTACATTGATCGAGGGCGGTCACACCGTAGAGAATATGCGGGCGATTGCAGATCGTCCACATGTCAGTCTTCCGACTCTTCCACTGACTACCCGGCAGCCTCAATCGCGCTTTCCGCTCCATTATTCCGTTTATTCACAAGGCGCAGCCACAGCGCAGTATGCTGAGACGAATAAAGGACCGTCTTATGCAGCGCAAGCAGTGCCGCAGTTTCAGCCACAGTTCGCATCGGTGATCCCAGCATTCCAGCAGGCGGGAGCATCTTGTCTTGCCACACATCATGCATGGCAGCCAGTCCATTCAAGTCCAGGATATACGCATAATTTAGATCCGGCGGCGTATAATGGCTTTGCTCGCTCAAATATTGCATATCCATTGACATATCGTATAGTGCGTGCTTCTACTTTATCATGTTCCTGTGACTGACAGTGCTCGTCTATCAGGGCGGAAATCATGCACAACATGGGCACCCCACACAAATGAATGGCTTCGAGGTCGTGGCGCCAATGTCGATGTACAACGCCGCACAGTGCCCTGCATACCTACCGTCCCCATCACACTTCTATGCAGGAAGCCCTGCCGCACTGCACCACTGTGGAACGACAGTACAATACACACCTCTGCATGCGATGCCGACACCCTATAGCATTCATGAGCCGAGCTCGCCTTACGTTGGGACCCCCCGCGAGTTCTCCCAGTCCGCGCCTCCGAGCCAGACTGCACAAGGGCCCTCGGAAGAGGATGTGGCATGGATGCTTGCCGTGCTCGAGGAGCAGGAATTGCTTGTCCCACAGCATAGGGATTCTCCCGACTTGGCGACATCGCTGATGTTCCCGGCAGAGGTCCACGACCACCTCACGGCACCCGAAGAACTGCCGCAGAGTGCAGGCCGGTTCTCTGACATGCTTCGGGATATTGATCGATGGTCAGACTCCCAATAGCTGCAATGGTCTGCATGTCGACCCTGGAGCGTTGCTGTATTGGGGCATAATTTATCCGTATTTACTGTCTGTATCGTGCTTTGCTCGTCTTGTGTATCGCGTTCATGTACCAGATTCCTGCTCGTATCTGATTGCTCTGTCTGTTTGTCGCAAGCTATCGCAGTTTCATTGCTGTACCTAACCTGACCCTAAGACAAGAGGATCTCGATCGTAGATCGTGCCACGTCCCGGCGTCTAAGTAGCTCATTCTATCGAGCAAAAATCAAAGCGACTCTACGTATTACGTTGTCTCCCCTATGCAGCCTACAATAGAGCGCCCTTTTTGATAGTCAGAGGATGGGCTCTCTAAAGGTCTGCTTCAATACACTCCCCCCGGACCGTAAGACAGCATTTCAAGCGTGCTAGCGATTGCCGACTGATGGCCGGATCCTGCCGAATGATGGCCGTCTGAACTTACCGTAGTGTTGGTTGCAAGTTGTGGCCTGGCGTCGCCTGAGATAACCACCGCCTTTCATTGAAGCTCGAAATGTCGCATCTATACTCACTGTGATGCATGATTCTCCGACACCGCGCGATCTGCTACGGCCATGACAATAATCATGTCCCAGGGTGACACCCCCCCCTCTGTATCGCGGCAATTGAAACTACATAACTCGAAGGGCATGACTGGTATCCGGCAGGAGAGCTGAAGTGAAAAAGAGTGACAGAGGGGTTGGATTCAGATATAGAATAAAAATAAAGATATTCAATGGCATTTGCTAGTGTAGATATCACGCGGGACAGGTGTATTCGGAGATGAAATAGGTTACGTAACTCCGAAATCGCGTCTTACTGTCGGGACCCACCAAATTGAACCAGACTACGTGTTACGTGGTGATCGCAATGTTTCATTAACCCACTCTACGGTTCCTGAGAGACAATCAGTGTTGATATGTGCTAATAGTAGTGCTCCACTGCGATCACCCTGAGTCAGTTACATCACCATCGCAACGGCTGCACAAAAGGCTCAGGAGCACCGTTCAGCTTGCAAATAGCAGCAAAAGGACACTACAGGCCAGGTATCACTCTCATCTCCCCCTTTTTGATCGAGTTCTGCCCTCGTTTCACGCAGCATTAGTTCAGTGACCGATGGTGTCAATATCATGCGACGTTGGGGCTATCCGATACCGGTCCCGACACTGGCTACATCTGCAATCAACGCTTATTTGAACACGCTGTATTGGTACGAGCTAAGTGTTCCTTCCTATTTGAAACACGCCTAGGTCTGTGTAGAGCTTCTCTGCTGTTAGCATAAATGCTTGCTACTCATTCGACAGTCTCAACATATTGCGCCCCTGACCCTCAGCGTATGACCCGAGGAATCCGCAAGACTTCTGACTTTGAAGGAACGGTGGGTACGGTACGTGATCGCTAGACAACATCATCGCCACGAGTCTCCTCTGCTTGTTATCCTGAAAACAATACTCGACACTTATCGTCATCTCTGTGCTGCTGCTGTTCAAGGTGATTAGCGGAACTACTCTCGAGAAGCCATTTGCTTACCCCTCGGAGATGATCCGAGAAACTGCCTGCTCAATCTTTGCTTCGCTGTAGGCCCATGTTAAGCGCGGCCAGTGATCTTAGCACCAGTCTGCTTTTGACCTTGTCAGATATTGTACTCCACGTGCGGGTGTGCACGAAAACGCCACCAGATTGTCTGCTAGCGAGCGGAGATGTGGCTCTACGAGCGCAGGCAGGTAAGGTGAGTAGTTCGATCACTGGGCGATGCTAGCGTATTCCGACTCGCCCTTGTCAAAATATATGAACCTCCACGGTTATCGTGTACAGTTCTCGCCATGCTTAGTCTTCTTCTGCATGACCTTGGTGAGTGGAAGATTTTCACAACACTTGCACCTAATGAAGCGCGCAGGTTCGCTCACGCTCTCCAGGTTTTTGTTTCAGCTACAGACCCTTCGGTATTTGGAACGCATCCGAGAACACGTTTACGCAAGGTGGAATCACTGACTATGGCTTGTAGGAAACGTCTTATGCATCGTAATCGCGCACGACATTGCAGACATGCAGACATATCATGGATACGACTATTGCCTCATGGATACGACTATTGCCGATCGATGCGTCCCTCAGGTCATACCGTCGTGTGAAGGAGGAGACAATGAAGTGCACTGCACGAGCCATATGGGTGCTTATACAAGCACTGATCAGCATTCAACTCGATTGACTTCTCAATTGTGCTCGTGAGATATGGGCGCCATGTGTTGCTATCTAGGTAATTGCTCTGTCCTTGCCGAGTCAAGGTGCGCTTTCCATACAGCCATGGAATTATGCCGCTGTCCTATAAAAACTACATAGTGTGTGTATGTTTCATGACCAATTCTATCCCTTGTTGCTACTCTTCCATGTTTCCTCCGTCCGAAACGGCGAATGCTGTTCGTTTTTCCACGCGTGTACTCTCAAGTTTGCTACATACTGAACACTTCTTGCAGACCGACATCTCAGCTAATAATGACGCCAAATCAGGATCAGTCAAACATGCACAAGTTGGAGAGCGAGCCAGTATGGACTACACGCCGGAGGCTAGACAATTTGACCGTCCGCTCGCTGACTCGGTGCTACATGGGCTCCATCTGCATAATCCATGAAGAAAACTCGAGTTATGGCACCCTGCCGCACACGACGGTACGTGCTGGTTGTTTGATCCTGTATTCCAAGCTTAATTTGCTGAGCGCTATCCCAGACGTGGCCAGCGAAGTCACGTTACCCCAACGGTCTGTTATAACTCGCCGCAACCAGCCACAACGGTCTCTTACCTTTGTCCGCATCCATCATCTGCCTTTGTGAACGCCACTCTCCTCGGCAGCCATAATCCACCCGATACTGCCTTTCATCACAACAAAGAAAACATATAATTATTCACCATGCCCGCCTCTCGTGACGAACGCCACTCGACGTCCAACGCCTTTTCCGTCTTCCCCGTTGTCACATTTGAACACCAACACACAGCAGTAGATGAAACGCAGCCCGCCACCTGTGTCGTCCCTAGCTACGCTGCTGTGGGTAGTCCACACTTCGCGTGCTTCGAGTGGGATGCATCCCAACCAATCCTTTCCCCGGTCATCTCTGCGAGACCACCCTCTCCATATACCTCCGCCAGTCCACCCTCCCCTGCCAGAGTCGCCAGCCCACCGTCCCCCATCATACCCTTCGCCAGCACACCCAGTACCTCGAGCCCGGCCAAGCGCCCTCGCCCAGACGACGAGGCGTCGCAAGGCTCCCCGAAGCGGCTGCTGTTGGCCGAAGACGCTGGCCTATCTCCTGCTGACATCGCTGCACCTGAGGTTCAGCCGAAGCGTAAGCGCGTGCGCAAAAGCACCAAGGATCCAAATCACATACCGCGCCCATCCAACTGCTTCATATTGTACAAGAACGACTATATCCGTCGGCTGTATGAGTCTGGGTATGAAGCGATGTCGAAGGACATCACCAAGGTAATTGGTGAGTTAGCCCCATCGTTACATAACGCATGGGTTAAAGCTATCATTGTGTCACCCCAGGCGCACAGTGGCGCCTACTTCCAGAAAATGAGCGTCGATACTGGAAGGACAAGGCAAAAGAGGTTAAGGACGATCACCGACTATCAAACCCGGGCTACCGATACAAGCCCGAGCGTAAGAAGACGGGGCGGCCTCCAAAGGGCGAGTCTCGAACCGAGAGAAATCTTGAAAACGCGAGGGATCAAGAAGAGAAGGAGAACGACCAGCGGTTGGGAGATGATAACGTGGCTAGGCCATTAATTGGATCGACTGAGGACAACCACGCTACAGGAAACACGCGAGCAATAGCAGGTCCTCAGCGCGTCAGTCTGTCGACTGTTCCACTAATCAGTCGGCAGTCCCAAAATAATTCATCACCCCCACTACACAGCGCAGTCAGAGCGCCGCGCGCTGGGACAAGCACTGAATGGTGCTATGCGGGCCAAGTAATGCCGTATTTTCAACCACGGCCCGCATCGGTGTTGCACCCAGCGTTCCAGCAGGCGAGAGCTCCTCGTCCCGTTACAACTTATAGGGGACAGCCTGCGCGTCCAGACCCATCCCTTTCCCAAGTTGTGAATGAGGCAGCAAATCATGGTCTTGCGCTCCCTTATGTCGCAAATTCATCGACTTACTATTTGGTTCGTGCTTCCAGTCACACTTCATCGCATCTTCCACTGACATCTTTCCCTGCCAGAGCGGCAACCACGCGCAATACCCAGTTCAGGCGCCGGTGGACGGATTCCAGGTCATGGCGCCAGCACAGGTGTACAACGCCACACAGTGCCTTGCCTATGTGCCGCCTCCATCGATGCCCTCCTACACGCATCCCGCCCTCTACCAGCATCCAGCAGCAGCACAATACACATCGCCGTATGTGATCCCGACACCCGGCAGTTCTTACGGCCCGAACTCAGCCTACACTGGAGCGCCCGCGTTCTCGCATTTGACGCCCCCTGACTCGACTACGCCAGAGCTCTTGACGGAGGATGTTGCGTTGGCGCTCTCCGTCTTCGAGGCCCAGGGATCGTTTATACCACAACAGAGTAACTCTCCTGACTTGAACTCAACGCTGGCGTCTGCGACGCGTCACACACCACTCGAAGAGTCGTCGCAGGGTTCAGACTGGTTCTCTGACATGTTTCCGGACCTCGTCTAATCGTTGAAGCTTCGAGTTCTGCCGTAATCCACGCACATCTATGTTTTTTGTATCAGTGTAACTTATCCATATTTATCACCTGCCTGCTGCTTTATCCTGCACATCATATTGTCGCATTTTGGCTAGTTTACCGTAGTTCTGCTCGCATTTTGTATGTCCTTAGCTATCATTGGTTGTCTTCTAATTCACGCATTATGGGACGCTGTGCCACTCTGCTGTGCGATCACGCCTGATTAAGATCAGCATATAGCAAGCGTGGCGTTGCGGAGGGATACAGCCAGTGAGCTCATTCTGGATGATCGGCGTTTGTGTACGCGAATTCAATTGGGGAAACACATCAGAAACACCGCCGGTCGTGCAGCATAAGTATTTTGAACGCGCAAGAGTTGCACAGATTGTAGACTGTCATGCATATGCGGATTACTCGAGCGCTTGATCATGGATCACCTCGGGCGCCTGATTGTCATCAGCAGCTGACGCCATGATCAGGTCGCCTTCTATTTCTACGTTCGATTGCCTGCAAGTCTACAGGGTTGGGAATTTATACTCCACTAAACGGATCAGCTTCGATACAGTAAATGAGCTCCATACATGCTGTTGTTGTCCATACTGGACACAGTCACTCTCGCTTTCGTAGCCTTATCTTGTGGGACAGCACATAGTTGAGCACGCAGTCACTCCTGCCAGAGATGATCTGAGCTACTACGGTGAAGGCTAGTACCCAGGCTGATTACTTCTGTCTCTTCCCCGTGTCATGATGCTTATCCGTATTTCTTATGCTGTCGCGTTTTGTGCGTACTTGAAAGCTGCTTCTGTTATAGACCTCTATTCCCGCTAGGTAAGTCGTTCAGGGTTCAAATATACCTCAATGACCCCTCATTCCGTTACATGCTTATTTATCAACAGCTATTGAAAATATCAGGGACCTACAGCCGTCAGTGGTGTGTATTCTGAATCGCTATCCGTCCGCTACCTCGTCATGGATGAACGTGTGGGGCACTAATGAAATTGGGCGGAAGTGCCATGAGGCCCGGACCACCTCCCGTATGCCACACCGATACAACATACGTTGAAGTTTGCTATCACAGAGCGAATTGAAAGTACAGTACCGGCTAGCCTTCTAGCGCAAGAACGTACACGACCTCAATAATCATCAATCTACTGGCACATGGCAAGTACTACATTGTCGTAGCTTCTTGCCTGTTCCAGAAACGCGCCCGTGATCCCGGGTTTCATATGTCCTATCACATCTGATGTCGTTCGTATCGCATTCGACCACCGGTGAGCTCGATTGGATTGGCATACACAGGGAGCAGTTTGTCTTTCCCACGTTTATCATTATGTCTCTTTATGGTGTCTCTCTGTTATCCGTGAGGATAGATCCCGCGCAAATGCAAGAGACCGTCGCATTTATGCTCACGAGAGGTAAGCCGCACGTCGAATGAGCAGTCTATCGGCTCACACTATAGCTATAGAATGTACCCGCTGTCCTGGATGGAGCGCGCTGGTATCGTGTTATATAGAGCACCACTTGGCGCTTCGAAGATTGCGGCAACCGGACACATACAACGTGTGTGGGGAGTGGCGGTCTACTATCATGATGGTTAATTGAGAGAGCACTACAATGTCCATGGGCTTACACTGACCAGCTCCCTGTAGATCGGGGATTAACTTCAGAATCAACCATCAGGCCCGCATCACTTCGTACAGGAGATCTGCAATTTGACCTATCTTACAGCGGCAGATCTCCACCGCATGCAAAAAGATATATCTATTGTCTTTCATGTTATTCTGAACCCAGACTGAGCTCCGAGGCAAGTGTGGCACGCAGGGTCACGTTACTCGCACGGCCTCGTATAACTCGACTGGACTAGCCACGTCGATTCTAACCTTTGTCTCCCACATCCATCACCCACCTACTGTCGGCATCCCCGTACGCTATATCGTAACCCAATCACCACAATCTCTATCCACGAGAAAGAATTCAAACAATCATCCACAATGCCCGCTCCCCACGACGAACGCCACTCGACCGACAACGATTCGTCCGCAGTTGCATTTGAGAACAAGCTGGAGACCTCATCTGTTTCTTCCAACGCCACAGTAGGAAGCCAGCGATCTCCCCTCTTGAAGTTGGACGTGTCGCATGCGGTTCCACCTACCACTCCAACTTCTGCCAGCCCATCACTCCCTACCACCTCCTCAAAATCATTCCCCTCTTACATGTCTACTGTCACATCCGATACAGCGAGGCCGCACAAGCGTACTCGAACAGATGACGACCTATCGTCCGGTCCATTGAAAGTCCCACGAATCGACGTCTCAATGGACGAGACGTGTAACGCGCAGTCTCCAAAGGATACCACGCATGAGAGGAGAAATGCAGAAGAGACGAGGGGGAAGTACGGGGAAAATCATCCTGCCTACCAATACGAACGGGAACACGCGAGCAAAAAGAAGGTAGCCATGAATTATGAAGAACTAACGCAGGAGGTAGAAGGCGCGCAGGATGAAGGGCAAGAAGCAGAGGCTCAAACAGTGGGCATGTCCGTCCCGTCCACTAACGCCGAGGTTGGCCTCCATTCGTCTGCTATCGGAGCAAAGTCGCTGGTGGGGCCACTGCCTATTCTTCCACCAACGGTGCCTCCAATCAGTCGCCTACTCCGCTCTAAGCTGGCCCTTCAAGCTCCCCTCCCTCTGCGCCACGCCGAGCTTGAGCTGGGCGATACACGGAATAAGAGGCCCTCTATCAAGCGGTGCCTTCCACGTGTCCAGCCATACTTCGGGCGAGAATCGGCGCCAGCACTCCAACCTCGCCTAGCCGCTGCTTCTTATCCTCGAAATGTCCAGCATGACTCTTTTCTCCTTCCGTCAAGTGGTGCAGCATCAAGCACTGGATATGCAATTCCCCAGGTAACATATCCACAACCAATTAGTGGCGTAAGTACCTTGATTGTGAATCCGCGTGTCTCTTTCTGACGGAATTGCTCTACAGAGTACTGGCCAGCCGCACTACCAGCCCCCGCTGCATTACCAGCCTCAGCTGCAACACCAGCCCCCACTGCGGCTCCAGCCTCCGTTGCAGCTTCAGCCGCGGCAATACCAGCTTCCGCCGCCAATGTATGGATACTGGTTTAGACCTGCAGTATCCATCCCGCCGACCTATACTACTGTGGCCCCTGCCTCCATGTCGTATTCGTCAATGGCCCACCTGCAACAGAGTCCCGCGGCATTCCATCAACACCCGGCCACCGCATCCTTCCCACAGCCCACAGCTTTGCACGCGATGCCTATTCCCGACGGAGCTGGGTCGTTCTACGCAACATACCGAGGGCTTTCTGGATCGGTGGCCTCAGTTTCGTCTGGACAACCACTGTATGCAGAAGAGCTATCATCACTCTCTATCGCACAGGGCCTCTACGCGCTGCAGCAGGAGCAGTCCGACAGGCCGGACCCCGATGCACTAGCATCTGCGCCACAATATGGTCAACTTGCCCCAGGCAATGAGGTGGTGCAGGATCAGTGTGGGTCCCCTGATATCCACACACTCTCCGGCCAAAATTCAAATTTTCAGCAGCTGCAGTATTATGCACCGGAACCTGAAGCGTCGCTGCAGTGATATATCAGTTCATCATTTATCTTCGTTCACCACCTGTAGTCTGATTGCCCCTCGCTGGCATAATTCTCGTCGTAGTATAGACGATAGCGGAGTCATGCGCACAGTGTACAGTATTCATTGGGATTGCATCATGTGCGCATATATGTTGTGACTATAAGCACAGACAAGGCCCACTTCTTGGTTGATATATCTACTCTTGGTTACTACGCTGGATTTACCTTGAAGCCTTTACACTATACGTGTTGAAACGCGCTGACCTGCGCGGTCAGGAACGAGCTCGCAAGCTCGGGCGCGCGAGTAGCCGGTGGCCGGAGGCCCCTATCGTAGTATATAACGACCCTGCGCGATGTACGTACCGCACGCGATTGTCCCTTACGGGCATCGCTACGCCCGTGGACAAACGCGCCCCGCGCCGTTCGCACCGTTGTTCCAACAATACGCTCCACCTCCAGGCCGCCGTCCGGTCGATTTGATGGCAGTTTCGCCGATCGTTAATGGTTTGCTGCCCTTTCGAATCCGCATCTGGGATCAGGTGATGTAGATGGTGATACAGCCACAATTTGCTATTCTTATTTGGACTCTGGTGTCCAGCTGCTCTCTGTGCCCGTGGACATTGTGCCGGCTCCTCCAGCCACACCAGCCCTCTAGTTGCCAGCCCACCATTACTGTACAAGGCGAGGCGAGGTGCAGCGCTAGGGCCACGAAGACCGCCCACACCACTATAAATCACGTCCAGCGGCGTTCTGAGCCCCAGAGACCTCGATTTTGGAGCAGTTCGACCTTGCGAACCATTTGAGTCAGATGTCGCAAGCATGGGAAATGAGGACACATACAGAATCGCGCCACGCGCTGGTGACTTTCTCGTCGGGCACGCGGAGTCTCCAGCCAGCCACTCGTGGATGGGCCGCGGATCACCTTAGCATCACTAGCATCATCGGGGCTGCCATTCCGGCACTGAGTGACTGTGTCGTCGTCAGGCAGCCTTATAGCGGCAGCTGTGACTTCGATGGTGAGGGGACGCGGACGTATTTGAGACCGTCGCGCATTCCGCCCTTGCACGCAGCTGCTCGGCCTAGCAGGGGCTTGTGCACTCACGCAGCGGCCTGGAGCAACATGTATCAGATGCGTAAAGGGGGCCTAAACGTGTTCGCAGAGGACGTACTGCAGGTTCGTCGCTGCTCATCATCAGACCCTCGTCGCGTTTCCTTGCGTCTCGCAAGCATCAGTGCAGCTGACGCTCGCTATCGCGACCTGAAGGCGTCGTCCGTCCACGCATTTGAGACGTTCGCGGGCCGCACACGGCGGATCCTCCTCAAGCCGGATGGGTCGGACAGCAGTGGGTCACGGTATTACGTCCGCAGCACTGGAGCGATGAGACGACGATTGAAGCAGGAAGGCATGAACAGTGTTAGCGAGGCGCATATTAAGCGGGAGGGGTGTGGATGTGTAGGTTTTGTAGGGAGCGGATGCGAATTATAGGCCTTGAGGTCTGTCTTTTATGCTCAAAGCTCAGAAAGCTACGTGATGGAGAATCAGATGGTAGCGGTATTATGCTGCCAAAACGATTCGCGTGAAATATCAGCCTGCAGCCAAGGTGGCGGGGTGTGGCGCGCACCTGGGTCAAGCACGATAGGTAACAAAAAAGACCATGATGGGATTCACACAATATAATTCGTCGTGGTATACGATAAGCATATATCCACATATGTGATTGATGGTCTTGTGGAAGCGATAGATTTGAGATTGACGATAACATACCGTGTCAGCTTGGAGCAGTTCCCGATATTTTATCATGACTAGACATTGCGTAAGCCAATCACTAGGGAGTGATGTAAAATCCTTTCAATAGGATGGTTTAAGGCCCGGACCAGTAGTTTGTTAGATGACAAAACATGTACTCCATGGCTGAGGAATCTAGAGCAATTTTGTTCTCGAACATGTTACAAGGCGCATTCTGTGGATCATCTGGAGTGGATGTCACATCGAAGGCGGGCGTGGGGTGTATAAAACAGTACACAGATTCAATTAGGATGGGATAAGCCTTCGTACGACAGACCGCAAGTGACGCTAACGTCGATCGAGCAGTCAGGCCTTCTCGGCAGGGTGCACATCCTGCGCCACCCCACAGCGCTAAAAGGGCCCCGGGCGTCCCGGAAGCGCCGCATAAGCGCCCTAGGCGGCAGCAACTAGGGGACAACCAGTGAAGCACACTCGCATCCTATCGCGCATTCCGCCCTGGCTGCCCTCGTCCACCGAAGCGTGACGAGTCAGTAACTCCGCTACGGTAAGGACAGGACAAGCCAAGGCGAGCGCATCAGTTACCTGACTCATCTAAACATATATGATATGCTTGGTATTATGAGTGCTGAAAATCGTCTGTAGGGCTTGTCGTGCGCTCTTGAAAGAGAAACCTTGCACAGTGCACGATACGCGTTTCGGATAATTGGTGATGCGCACTCCCGCGAGAATGTACCGGCCTGGTGGCACGCGACTGCCATCAATGCGTGCTCAGGTCATACCGCCTTGCGAGGGCGGACGAAGTGAACCTCCAAGTCAAGCGGGAGCGTGCATCTATCCGTACGTGCGCGTGAGACGTGCATAAGCACGCGCGCAGAGAAAGATTGTGTTCAACCATAGCGAGATGCTCACGCCATGTACTGATACTTCCGTGAAACTCATGATCTTGTCCGTGCTGAAGCATGTATGTGCATCTTTGCTGTGGTCAAATATGGTAAGCCATTCATTGTCCATCCTCAAAAACGTCTCCTTCATTTTACCATTTAGAATTGGGTACCACCGACATCGACACGATCCTCTTGCATCTGGAACGGTAGTCACAATTCCTCCCTTACTTCTACGATCTGCCATACACTGAATTGTTTCTCGTAGATCGACGTATCAACACACAAGGGAACATAAATGTTTCAATCAAACGTGCACGCCAGAGACCGGACGATCTTCATGAGCTCATCTACGCCCACAGGGGCGCCGACTACATAATCTCACAATCCTAATACAAGATATAGTACTCCTTTACCCTTCGCCACGCAACGGTACGTTTTGATTGTTTGGTCCTGTGTCCCAGGCTCGAATTGCTGAGCGCTAGCGTGGCCGGCGAAGTCACGTTACCCCAACGGTCTGCTATAACTCGTCTGAACCAGCCACAACGGCCTCTTACTTTGTCTACATTCATCATCCGCCCTTTGTGAACTCCACCCTCCTCGGCAGACACAATCCACCCGATACTACCTTTACTCGCAACAAAGACTCCACATCATTATCTACAATGTCGACCCCTTGTGACGAACGCCACTCGATGTCCAACGGGTTCTCCGTATTCCCCGTTATCGCATTTGAAGACCAGCATGCGGCAGTGGACGCATCCCAGCCCACCACCCCTGGCTACGCTGCTGTGGGCAGCCCAGACTACGCATACATCGAGTGGGACGTGTCTCAACAGGGCCCCCCTACTACTCTCTCGACAAGCTTACCCAATACGCCAGAACCGTGCATGCTAGTTCAGACGGATGGCGCCATATCACAGAAGACCCCATGGTTGCCAGAGGCTAGCACATCCTCCAGTGGCAACGCCACCTTCCGCACCAAGCGACAACAAAAGCCGGTATGCAAAGGCAAGGCTAAGCGTGATCCGAGCTATGTTCCGCGTCCCTCGAATTGCTTCATCCTTTTCAAGAACGACTACCTTGATCGGATGCGCGAATCAGGGTGCAAAATACATATGCAAAGCGTCGTCAAAGTAATCGGTAAGACCGCCTTCTGTTTCTACGTGCATGACGTGACTTAGAACGAGCACCTTGCCATTGTTTGTATCTTGATTTCAGGTGCTAAGTGGCGCGCCTTGCCTCCGGAAGAATCACAGTACTGGAAAGATAGGGCGGAACAGGTTGAGAAGAAACATAAGGTAGCGCATCCTGGGTACGAGTACAAGCCGATCCGCAAGCAAGGAAGGGGCTGTTCCAAAGACAAGCCTAGGACTGGTGCTAAACCCACGGAGACAACGGAGCGACAGAGCATGGATAAGGAGAACAGGCCGCAAGGGAGGGAGGTCTCGGAAGATAAGTCAATGGTAGCATCGACCTGTAATGAGGATGGTCTCACCGTGGAACATACGTAAGTGGCACTAGTACCGCAGTCATCCGGTCCGTGGGCTCACTGGCCCACTAGCCAACTACACTGGTCTCAACATCGTTCCCCCGTACCGTCTCTACCATCAGCACAAAAATACGTCGATGCAGAGAATGACTGGACCTCAAACCAACAGTTCCTCCCATACATTCACCCACTTCCTGTCTCAAGCGCGCTGCCAGTATACCAGTCATCAGGACCTCAATACGTTGCAACACCTCAATGCCAGCCCGCCCAGCCCAGCGACGTCGCGTCCTCCTATGTGGCATGTTCATTGCCTTATCATTTGGTGCGCACCTCCTCAGGTATATACTCGGTCCGATGACTGATAGCATTTGTCTTCCAGAATCCAAATCGTGACCAATATCAGACTCTGCAGCCAACGAACGGCTATCAATTCAGGGCTCCCATACCGATTCAGGCGTTCAACGGGGATCCGCGTCTTGTCTCTGCGTCGTCCTCACCGAGCGCATACGCATTCACACCGAACCTTACATTGTTTCCTCAACGAACAATGAACACAGACTCCACGCAGTCCACACTGCCAGTGCCGCATGCGATCCCGACGCACAGCAGCTCTCTTTCACCGAGCTCGTCTTACACATCGACAGGTGCATTTCCACAAATGGTGCCTCCAGACCTATCTAGGACACAGCCGTTAACGGAGGAACTGGCTTGGACACTCGCCGCGCTTGAAACGCAAGGTTCGTACGGCACACAGCAAGGAGATTGGCTTGACATGCGCTCATCGCGGACGCTCGCAACACACCGCACCCAACCCACGCTATCTGAGGTGCCATCTCAAAGTGGAAGCTGGCTTCCCGGCATGTCCCCTGATCTTGACCAATCGCTTGGGTTCCAATGACTACAGTAGTTTCCCAAACATCTCCGCTTCGGCCCACCCGTATGTAACTTATCTGTATTTATCGCCTGTCTACCCTCATGTCCTGTTGTTCCATCTTCGGCATTGTATACCATAAGCCTGCACATCCCTCTAAATCTCACTGTATCAGTCGTTCTTTGAGCCACGTACCATGAGATGCGGTGTTGCGCTCCCATGCAATGAAGCGTTCACATCAAGAATGCATTGCAATTTCAATCTCGCGGTATAGTATCAAATATTGTATGAATGCAGTGGGGTACGCCACATTGTAAGCTGTACATCTATTCGGAAGGAAGTTGAACCCCATGATTAAGGCACGAAGAACAAGAGCATAAATGATGAGAGAAGCGGGAACAGGAGGAGATATAAAATGTATCATCTCATGCTCACAATGGCCATGGACTATCTGAAAGAACTGCGAGCTTCGTTAGACTCGGCGGTTGTAATAAGCCACATTATAAGCGCCCGATTGGCGTTGATGAGATTAGTCTACTGAGAGCAGGGTAGACAATTCCTTCAACCTGAGCCGGCTCCGGATATTCTTATCTGACGATGAGAACAAATCGAGGATCCATTGCATTTGGTCAGCTACGACGTGGGCTAGGTGCTCGACGATTCGCGAACACTATCAATAATCTATCGTACCCACTGTCTATGGGAAACCTATCCTCATCGAAGAGTCAGACAGAGTGCGCTCTGCCTGAACAATGTTCACGGCAATTTTCTCAGGAAGAGGGGTGGGCATGGAAGGAAGGACAGTCCGGCTAGCCACGCTATTGACAGCCAGACCGATCTGAAACGACATTGATCAGCCTACTAGTTGTCTGATCGCTCGCCTCGCGGTTACTCGGGTCCCTCTCCCATCCTCGCGTCGCCTCACGTGTGTGCAGGCTGGGCGTGGACGACGGACGCCTGGTGCAATCGGGCCAGCATTGAGAGCAAATTGTCAGCACACAATGGCCAACGACGCCATTCGCACATAAGAACAATATATTTTTATGCAATCCGGTGCAATGAAATACGACAACAGGCATCGGTGGAAGCACGAGCACGAGCAACGGCGGATACACAACTAGATGTCAAACATAAGCAACAGCAGCAGTATTGTTATCGGAACATGCATGACGCCGGAGATTACCAGATCGCCTCGCACTAGTCTATGACATACCTCTCAGCTTCAGAAGCAAGGCCTGTCGCACGACGAAAAGATGGTCGCAGTGAACCGATGAAGTATACGGCCTGCTCGAAGTATCGCAAGGCCTCGCATTCATCATTCCTCTCCTGGATGACCGACAAGAACAGCGTCAGGGCCTGGCGAAGGATCAGCCTGATGTCTCTCGCTCATCATGTGCAGATCTGGTGATGGTGTTCGAGAAATCGTGGTTGCAAATGCAAGGACGGGATACACCGCCGCCACCGGAGACTCGGCCAAGGGGTCTGGAGTTGGGATCCGGGAAATACCAGCTGCGAAAGCGATGGGATCCACGGTGGAGTGTACGATCCGCTCGGGGACGCATTCTGTAACAGTAGACGGTTCCGGTTCCGGTGTCGGCGTGCGCGATATCATGGCTGATAACTCCGCTAGGTCAACGACATGATGATCTACCTGCTTAGGGTAGAGATCAGAGACAGCTGGTGGTGTGTAATTCGGATCATGGAGGACGTCTAGGTTGCCCGGGTACCTGCTGAGGATATCTGCGGCCATCCTACAGGCAGGGTGTGGATCTGTTGAACCTAAAAAACCAAAGGCGCCCGACCACTCGTATATCTGAGCGTCGGAAAAAATGACTTCTTTGGCAATGCCTTCGTAACGCTTGAAGTTCTTGAGCCACGTTTTGCTCGCCTTAAATACGCCTTTAACTGTACTGTCAGACCTCTCACGAATTTCTTTGGCCTCAGCGATAATGTCCTTGTCCGTGATGAGTTTCTTCTCAAAGAAGCGCCGATTTGCCCAGCGCTTCAAATTACTCTCTAGATTGCCGAAGCGGCGCAAACTGCGTATGATGTCAGGATGATGTTTCATGGTATGTGCGGGGATCATACCACAATCTATGATACTTGTCAGATACGATGGTATCGGGACACAACCACCTAGCCTTGTCCTTCAGTGTACGGCCTACAGTAGTCCTAGCCACCTTGAATATGCGACCAATTGCTTCGTGCGTCGCATTTGGGTGGTCTCGCTTGTAAGTGCAGATTTCCCTTCGCATCAAAGTGGAAACACGGGCACGCTTGCGCTTCCACGCTGGCTTCGAGGGAGTATTTGCGGAAGAGGTCTTTCGTGGCATCTTGAGGGGACGTTCACCTTCGTGCACCTGGAACGAATCACTGAACATCAAACAACAATATGAATCAGCACAAGGTATAACTTACCGACGCTCACAAGCAGTGCAGAGCGATGAGACGTAAAGGGGTTTTCTGGCAGTAATCTGTGGAGGAAGGAAGGAAGGAAGATCGCTCCACGAAGGATGTTCACTTTGCGAAGGCCTCATGAGCCACACGCATGTCACGTGATGCGACGGACGATCGCTCTGGGTGAGCCACTGCCTTTGTAGGGGACTGCGGCGAGGGATACGCCCGTGTTGCAATATAGTATGGCTTACCAGTGTATTTCCCACCTTATAGATGCCCAGGTTTGTGATGCCGCAATAACTGAGTACTCTACCGCCTCCGAATTGTATGGAGTCTTATGGTTTCATCTGCCTGGTCTCACCCCCAACTCGAATAAGCGCGAACGGATGAGTTGTAAGAAGTACCGTCTTTCGGACGATTTGAAGGCAATGCCGCACTCGAGAACACGATGGCCACCATGCGCTCGAGCAAAATCAGAGAATGGACTTCCCAGTCGCTGTGGAGCCATGCGTCTCTGAGCAAGATTTAAGCCTATGTCCCTGTGTGCTGAATGAACGTTCATTTCGGCGCCGTTACATTGACGTGACACAATATTACTTGGCCACCTATAGGAGGGAGGGGAGAAAATGGTAAATCATACCACAGACGCTTCGTGATCCGTACCCCTGGCGTTCCTGTTCCTACTAGTCTTATTTGCGTCGTCCTCTGACGCGAGCTTCAGTCGGTGATCATACCTCACCTGAGACTTGTATTCCTGCCTTATTGATCTACGCACCGTGCCTACACTGACTCCCTTCAAGGTGACCGAGCTAATACGAGTTGATGCTCTGTATTATTATCATGTGCCCGCGTCATGGGCGCAGGAGTAGAAATGTGTCGTAATGTTGTGCGTGCGGCGGACTAGCAGTCACCATTCCCGGTTGAATGGGGCCAGAGGAGAGGTGTAAGTATAGAAATGACAAGAGAGCCGAGAGGAAAATGTGCAGTCATTGTCAGCACGTCGTCTCGTGGGTGCCTTGGGTCTCGTATGCAGTACTCCTAGAGAGTCTGGTCTGCCAAGCTTCGTCGCGAACGTTTTGACGACACCAATGAATCTGAATGGGAGTTTCAGCGCGTCGGCCTGTGAGAGTCGAGTACGCCACAACGCTTAGCCCAATGTTTACAGCCCTGCTCGATGCGAGACACTTGATGAGTAGGTGTCATACCGTTTCCGAATGAGAGCTGCAAGCTGTCACTTACTACTATCTGGTCGACATTGGTAGCAGACCCGCGCACTGGGGGTACATGTCTTCACCCGCGCCGACAGGAGGCTTGCGTCGTGGAGAGGCCTATTGGCCTTGAAAGGTATCTTGGGGCCGATGCAATGCAGTTTCGCATGCGTGGTGATTTCTGCCAAGCGACGTGAGCAGTATGTCGAAGGGAATGTAAGCAGAGTACAGCTCGCCTGTACGTCTGAGAGCGGTAGCATCTGGGAGACTAGGGGCGGCAGCTCTTCTAGATGGTTGAGGGTGTTCTATGACATGCGCCTGTCATTGTTTGTGTCAAACCCCGCCGTAAGCAGCGTTATTGATGCATATATGGATATTTGGGGCATCATTGATGATGGACCACTTGAATGAGATACGTCAGGTAGATGTTCGCTAGCACGGCCCTACCCTATTGGGACCAGTAGATGATCCCTCACGGGGAGCGGTGATGGTCTCGTGACGTGCACTGCAGAATATATACGAAACAAGTCAGCACAGTGATTGTTTGGAAAGCAACCAAATGCTTACTTGAATGGCCTTCTCGGCCGTTGTTAGAAAATGAGGGGCTAAAGAGCGGTCGGTAAAATCGATGCGCCGACCTTTCGACAGCTATTTCCTTCTCTGTCTAACAATTTGCGAGGTATCTAGCGAAGTGGATTGTGCGCGGGAGTAAGTATGCGGGAAGGCAGATGCAATAACGCACAGGTGTACATCGATCTTCATTTCAATATGTGAACTTTCCCATCTCCTCTCCCAGGAAGTGGAGGCTTTGTATATCGCTTCAAGACTGCCGAACTTGATGCCAATCGGCCAACTCCCTCAGTGCTGGGAACTCTATGAAGATTATAGATTTCTCGAGCTGAAGTATCCAGCTTTACAGTGTGCTGCTCGATATCTATGGCCAACATATTCTTGGTATATAGCTCAGCGCCAAAAATGTGTACTTGAAGGGAAACCAAGACAGGGGTAGGTGTTAAAATGGTGTTTTCAACGGGTAAGCGAATAGACATGCCAACGAGTGCGCGAGCGGGCGTTCACACGCGCGGGCGGAAGAAGGTTTGAAGGTACGGAGCGCTCGAATGGAGCCTTGAATAGCCGTTCGAGTACTTTCTCATTATGCTATTCTATTGAACGTTCGAAGGGGCTCTCGAATGGGCGTTCGAATAGGTTCTTGAGAGCGCGTTCGAGGAGTGCGCAAGTGCTCGTTCGAAAGAGTTCTCGAGAGCGTCTTCGAAAGTGTGCTCAAGTGCGTGTTCAAAGGTGTCTCGGAGGACGCGTTCGAAGGGGTCCTTGGCAAATGTGAGTTCAAAATGAGTTAAAGCAGCGCAATGGTAAGATAGGCCGCATACACAAACTACATCATCACGTGATTTCTGGCTGTCACGCTCGCGAGATTTCGGTGGTAAATAGCAGTCGGCGGGAGTTTGCACTTTCGTCAGCTCAAATAAAGGAATTCTGCTTCCTGAGAAGCCTTAATAATTACATTTTGCATCGATCTTGGGAACAGAATTTCGAATTTCGACCTGGTCGAGGAGCAAACTCAAATGCAAGGTGCGAATGCGACCATGTGATGCTGACTAAGCAGTGCGGTAGAGTGCGGAAACAACATGCAGTACAGGTCAACAACGACACCAATATGCCCAGACGCCGCAAAAGAAATATAGTAACACTGTCTCATATTTTTCTCAATGCATACCACAAGGGATTGGATGAGAAACAGGCCGCATTTGCAGGGAAGGACTTGAAGTATCGCATTCGCAGTTCCGGATTCCTTTTTTCGATGATTACAATACAGATTTATTTCAAAAATTAAATAGTACATAGGTTCTCTATCTAGCGCACATAATGAATGCAGCAGATATGCGAACAGAGGGCGACAACCGTTGCAGTTGCGCAAACAACGCCCCTCGTCCTCATGTTCCATGGTGACTTCACGTGATCGTCACAGGTTGTCACACATGTAGTTTGTGTATGCGGCCTATCTTAGTAGAGGCGGGAAAATGATCGGACGAATCGGGACGAGCGCGAGCGCTAATTGATGGTTACGTAATATCACTGATGTGAACATTCGGTCCTTCCCACGCTTGCGAGTTCTGCCTTCGTCACAGGCCACGCATGTAACGCGTAGGTTACAGGTACCCCGGGGTCTAGTAGAATGTAGGATTAGGGTCTTTCTGTACATATCTGGTAGCATCTGTTTCCCGCTTCTTTAGCCTTATTGTTGGAACGACGGTGCGACGGCGAGGGGCGTGTTTGTCCACGGGCGTAGCGATGCCCGTAAGGGACAATCGCGTAGCATACATACATCGCGCGCGGTCATTTTATACTACGAACGGGGCCTCCGGCCCCCGGCTACTCGCGCGCCCGAGCTTTCGAGCTCGTTCCTGAACGCGTGCTTCAACACTTATATCCTCGTTGTGGCACCGTATGCTTTGGTACTCACTATAGATTGGGTCCTGACGCATGGCGACTGAGGGCTGGGGCTCAACAAACCTTACAACGCAGGATGTGTTACCATCCCCAAGTATATCTCCTTGAAAGTCACGCTGTTCTCAACTCGGTGCTACGGCATGCAAAAAGGAGGGGAGCAAATGTCCTTCATCAGAGAGTCCGTCGCCGAGTAGCTATTTGTGTCTGAGCTCTAGTTCTTCGATCTTTGGCAGTCTTGTGAATTCCACTGTTCGGCGGTTCGGCGGAATCCACGTCACGATTGCTTGACTTCGACAGAGGCACGCCAAGGTACGGTTGTGTCACTGTTTTGCCTGCTCAGATAGCGCCTCCTGCTGCTACGTCATGAAGGGTGAGTATTTGGCCAGAATGCTCGCCTTCGGTCTGGTGTGTTATTCATTGAAGACCAAGACGATGCCACACTTGAAGAAAAATTTCTGACTCTTGGCACAGGCGTCGCGGCGACAGGCGATCAGGCTCAGCAATCCTCGCATTTGGCTATGAAAATATCTACTGTTGCTGGCTAGTCTGGCAGGGTTCCTGTCCTGATCTCCTGCCATCGCTTATTGAGATTGAGGACAAGGGCACGAACCTCATCCAACCAGATCTGGAAGCGCTGCCGGCAACTGACCGCTATAGAGATAATTGTACGTTCCTCATTTCAGGATGCCTGACCCACTTCATAACCGACGCTGTTACGACTCACTCGAAGCCAATATTTTGCTGCTCCCGTGGAGGCATTTTCCTGACACGGCTCTCGTTGGGAGTCTATTGGGAGGCGTGTTGCGCTGTGTTCGTCGACACCATTAACTGCTCGCGATCTCCTTCCCTTCAGTATGTGTATACTGGACTCAGAATACTCAGACAGAGTGCGCTCTGCCTCAAGAATGTTCAAGGCTATGTTCTATTGGGGAGGGGTGGGCATGGAAAGAGGGACAGTCCGGCTAGCCACGCTATTGACGGCCAGACCGATCCGAATCGACATTGATCAGCCCACCATTTATTTGATCGTTCTCCTCGCAGTTGCTCAGTCCCCTTCCGCATCCCTACGCTCTCGCGTGGTCTCATGTGTCAGCAGACTGGGCTGGGACGCCTGGCACAATCGGGTCAGCATTGAGAGCAAGGTGCCAGGACACAGCGGCCGACGATGTCACTCGTACACACGAACAATACGTTTTCACGCAATCCGAAGCAATAAGATACGACGGCGAACATCAGTGGAAGCACGAGCAGCATCTTCACGTGAGGATTGGTAATAGAACATGCGCGACGCATGAGTTTACCAGATCGCCTCGCACCAGTCTATAGCATCTCTCTCGGCCTCCGAAGCAAGAACCTATCGCACGACGGAAAGATGATCGTGGTGCACTGGCAGAAGAGTGATTTATTTCGTACTAGTGAACTACGTGACATGCTCGAAGTGCCGCAAGGCCTCGCATGCATCAATTCATGGCCGCTGGACAGCCTTTCCTGGAGCCCTATGCCTCTCGGTCCTCATATGAGGCTCTGGAAACGTTGCACTGAGTAACAGCTCGAGAAACGTGTATGGACTACGGGCCTCACGAATTGCAAGGCTGTGATCTTCGGAATATGGTCAGGAAGACGATCGAACGTGTGCAGCAGCCATTGTGAGCGTTGGCGTACCGGACGCAGGGTGTATTGTGGAAACGAGTCCTGTTTGCGTAGGAGACTTCGAAATAACGGAGTGGGAGACCTGAATCTTAGAGCCAACTGTGAATAAAGGAGAAGAGGGGGCATGATTCGCTGGTGATGGTGTTCAAGAAGTTTTGACTGCAAATGCGTCGATGTCAAGGACTGCTGCCGGGGACTCAGCCAAGAGATCTGGAGTTGGGGTCCGGAAAATACTAGCGGCGAGGGCCGCAGAATCTATGGAGTGTACAACCCGCTCGGGGCCGCGCTTTGTAACAGTAGGGGGCTGCGGTTCAGGCGTCGGCGTGCGCGGGATCATAGCTGATAGCGCCGCCAAGTCAATGACATTATGAACCACCGCCCCAGGGTGGAGACCAGAGATATCTGGTGGTGTGTATGTCGGATCATGAAGGACGTCCAGGTTATCCGGGTATTTGCTGAGGATATCTGCGGCCATCTTGGAGGCAGTGTACGGGCCTTCGCCTGCGAACCCAAAGGCGGCTGACCATTTGTCTCTCTCAGCATCAGCGAGAATGACACCCTTGGAAATGCCATGGCGACGCTTGAAGTTCCTCAGCCACGTTTTGCTCGCCTTAAATGCACCTTTCGCTAGACCGGGAAACGTCTCGTGGATCTCTTTGGCCTCAATGAGAATATCCTTGTCCTTGATGAGTTTCTTGTCAAGGGTGCGTCTCTCCGCCCAACGCCATAAATTGTTCTCTAGCCCGGCTAACCGGCTAATACTGCGTATGGTGTTAGAATGATGCATCACCCAATCGTGCGGAGGTCATACCACAGTCTATGATACTTGTCAGATACGATGGTATCGGGACACAACCACCTAGCCTTGTCCTTCAGTGTACGGCATACAGTAGCCCTAGCCACCTTGAATATACGACCAATTGCTTCGGGCGTCGCATTTGGGTGGTCTCGCTTGTAAGTGCAGATTTCCCTTCGCATCAAAGTGGAAACACGGGCGCGCTTGCGTTGCCACGCTGGCTTCGAGCAATGCTTTGCGGAACACGTCTTACGTGGAAGAGGCTGTCCGAAGCGCAGCTTCAGCATCTTCAACGGTCGTTCTCCTTCGTACACCTGAAGCGAACCGCTGAACATCAAACGAGCAACAACATGAACCAATTCGAGGTGTAACGCACCCGAAGCTCAAAAGCAGTGCAGAGGGATGCGATGAGACGTAAAGGGGTTTTCTGTCAGTAATCTGTGGAGGAAGGAAGGAAGGAAAATCGCTCCACGAAGTATGTTCACTTTGCGAAGGCCTCATGAGCCACACGCGTCTCACGTGATGCCACAGACGATCGCCATTGGTGGCCACGAGGGCTGCGGCTCGGAATACGCTCGTGGCGCAATATAGTATGGCTTACCAGTGTATTTTTACACCATACAGATGTCCAGGGCTGTAGCACTCCACCGCCTTCAAATTGTACGGAGTCCTATGTTTCTATGACATACGCGTGTCATTTTTAGCATCAAACACCGCCCTGGGCGGTATCATGGACGCATGTATGGATATTCTGAGGCACCATTGATGAGGGTCCATCACAATTAGCCACGTCAGGTGGATGTTTGTTAGTGTGACCCTATCGGAAACAAAAAATACCTCAAGAGGAGCTTTCACGGTCACGGGCCGCGCATATGCTGCGTTCCTACGAAACAATTTAGCACAAGAATTGTTTGTTAAGCAATCGAATGCTTACTCTAATGGCCTTGTCGGCCAATGTTTGAATTCCAATGGTCAAAGAGCGGCCCGTGAAATGAACGCATCGTCAGCTTGAACAAGCTATTCTGCCCCCATCTTACAAGGGTAGGAGTATCCGGCGAAATGTATTATGTACTGGAGTAGGGATGCGGGAAGGCGAATGCATTATCATACAAGCGAGTCACCCCATCTCCTCTCCGAGGGAATGAAGGCTTGGTCGATCGCTTCAAAGTTGCCGAACTTAGTGCCAGTCTGCCAGCCCCAGTGCTGGAGACCCTACGAAAAGCTATAGAAATCTCGAGCTTGAACCCTGCTGGTGTATCTAATTTTACAGTGCGCTGCTCAATATCCGCGGTCAGCTAAACAGCGCTACGCTAAAACAACTGAATGCTAAGGAGGAACTAAGGCAGGTGTTCAAATAAGTGTTCGAGCGGATGAGTTGAACGGAAGGAGTGAGCAAGCGGACGTCCAGATGCGTGCGCGGAATGACGTTTGATAATGCGTAGCGCGCTCGAGTCCCATGGGGTTTTGGATAGCCGTTCGAATGGTCTCTCTTTATGCCATTCTTAGTATTGAACATTCGAATAGGTTCTCCAATGCGCGTTCCAATGAATCGTAAGCGCTTGTTTCGCAGGGTTGCTTCAGTGTGCATATAAAAGGAGCGCCTAAGAGTGCATTCGGAAAGATCGTCAAGTGTTAGTTCAAAGTGGTTGAAAGCAGCGCAATGGAAAGGGAGGGGAAAGGCGAAATGATCGGACGTGTCGGAACGGAGGGCAAATAGGCGCGCGCATGTCAACAAACATTCGCGTCACACGCTCCCAAGCTTTGCATTCGCCAGACAGGCTTTTTTTGACTTTCGCGCACTTCTGGATTCGATTCTACGGCACGCAAGAAGAAAGGGAGCAAATGCCCCTCATCCAAGAACCTGTCGCCGAGCAGCTCGGTTCTGAGCTCCAGTTCTTGATCGCGTCGACCTCTCGCAATGCGGCTACAACAGCAACTGTCGTCTTAAGTTTGAATTTCCCTCCTTGGCGAAGTCCATGTCACGACCGTCTGGCTTCAAGTAAGGCGCACCAAGGTACGGCGGGGTCACTTTGTTTTGTCTGCTCAGATTGTGCCGCCTGCTGCCACGTCACGAGGGGTGAGTACTACATCATCGACGAGGCGTTTTGCAAAACCCCTTCTGTGCTTTACGTATACCCGGACGTGGGGAGCGGGCGATACAATTTCTCACGGAACGCAGACTTACAGCAACAGGCAACGAGGCTAATCCAAGGCTCCCACAGGTCTGCGCATCCGCGATCTCTGATTGACTTGCTAGGACTCCCCGGATCATCTTGAGCATCTCCTGTCGTGAATCAGGACAACGTCTTGCACTATATCTAACCAAGTTGGCGGATGTAGTGGCGTCAAAGTGGGATAGGGATGGCCTTGCGCAATCGGCGTCTGACTTACACGGTGGTGAGCATCGTGGTGTGTTGTTAATGACATGCATTCACTTGGCTCTTACGTTTAAATCCCGTGCTGACCTGTGCTACTTCGTCAACGCCGGGAGACGCATGTGCTTGGGCGTGACATCGGGCGCTTATATTTTCGACTGCTCCGTACGTAAGAGATTTGTGCCTAATGGCCATGAGACATAGCGACCTCGATCTTATTCTAACAATGACTGCTCTTCGAGAACATCCCCTCGCGAGACAGGCGAGTCAAGCAGTCGAACGACTGACATGAGCGAACAGAACGCCTGATCTTCACAGTCAGAAGCTACCATACTATACCACACCACTGTTGATGAGAGGTCGACATAACGCTAGCGAGGTGAGCCCGCCCTCAACCGTCCAATGGAGTACTTGTGTATAACATGCCATGTGCGAATGGAGAGGACGGCAGTTGCCGGGCCCTTGTATTGTCGAGACAAGGCGTGCCGTAAAGTAGCAAAGATTATTTACCACGATGAGTCTTAAGGCGTTGTCTGATACAAGATCAGCATTGTAAGCGCCGCTGATGTCCGTACGTTGTTCAACCATCCATTCTTCACCATATAAGTTTGTTCGCCCTGAGCCCCCCCAGATCCCACCTCCCCGTTGTTATCGCACGACCATTCATAGACGCGATGTTCATGGAAAATACCCACAGCGTCAAACCTGCACATCCGGAAATACGCCGTGGACGGGTACCACAGACGGCGTGGCGCATAGAGACAGTGTCAAGGCTGCCGACGGCGCCACAGTTGCCGGTGGACACCATCTTCTTCACGCACAAGAATCAGACAAACGGGTGTGGAGTACCTCTGCGTGATCTTATTGCGTGTCCACCACGACAGGTGGATGAAACGATTGGCGAGAACATGGCTGGCGGCAGCGACGAGGTGTTTGCAGCGGTCGAATACAAGTCCATCACGATCAATGTACAGGTACGCTAGACGGCCCATGGATACACGTCTCAGGCTTACGAGTAGCTCTGACGCCGTGTTGATCAGTGGCCATCGTACGACTTTGTATACAACGAGAACGTCCCGATTGTCAACAGAGGCAAGTACATCACGCGCGCACAGTTGGCAGTCAGGATAGGCAGGAAGATTCAGAGCCTTGTGGAGGTCTGTTTGTCCTGCAGAGATTTTGCCATGGTGAGCGATCTAAATAGGCGACAGGCTTTGAGGACAGTACTCCCCGACGAGCGAGGGGCGTACTGGACGATAGGCGACGAAGCATTTGGAACGGAAGACATCTATGTCGTGTCCCTGTCGCAGCTGCATGGACGGATATTCCGAGTGGACCTGGATGTGGATGCGAGATAGATACGGGATCAGCGCAGACCTACGACCGTCGTGAGCACCAGCTATGTTTACACGCTATATGGGACCAATGCAGATAGAGTGCGAACATAGATCAGTCTTGAACGATACGGAAAATGTGCGTGTGGGGAAATTACATACTGCCTCAAAGCGTATCTTCATGCACGCTATAAGTTAACTTGGTTCAGTGTACGCAGGCTTGGTTTGCTACGTTCACAGGCACGCGGATATGCACTGCATTTCAGCAGGAGAGTTTACATAGATTTCCACGCCAGATACAGAACAAGCACAAAATCAAACACCGAAAATGTCGTCGTATGCAGGCGGCAGCATATCTGGGATGCTGCCTCGAGAGAACGAGATGCCAGCGTCCATATCGCGGAAGGGAAATTGTCTCACAGTATCGATCCTCGGCATGTCTGGCGAGATGTCCTCGGCCCTGTCACTGGGCAGCCTCAGTGCCGGAGACGGAACCACGGACACACTGAGCTGAGGACAATCGTGTTCACCTGCGGTGTCAAAGACAGTTAGACGCCTTGTCTGGCCATGATCAAATCGTGCTGCTTACTTGTCTCTGTTGCTTGACTAGGATGAGTTCCCTCCGCAACCACCATCCGTGGATTGCTCGGCTGGCCCGCGCATGCTAGGTCAAAGGCATTTGTATCTGTACGTCCTGCAACTTGAGTGGACAGGTCAGGATAGTCGCGCATCAGACAAGCTGTGCCCTTGTGCAGTAAATATGAGGACCCACCATCCATTTGCGTGTACACCGAGGGCGTCACGGCACATGAGCTTCCGTGGTGAACTCGGCGCAATCGCCTCCGAATATACCACCAAATCAAAGTCAATAGACCCATGCAACCCACTACGCCCAGCGCAATAGTCACCATCAGTGATTCTCCCACAGATGAAGATGGCGTCGTCGTTGAGGCAGTGTGTGTCTGAGCTGGTTGTACCGGATCAGAGGAGAGCGAGATGCTCAAGGCTGAAGCGTGGTGTGACGGCCCGGCGTGTAGGCCCAAGGATGGTTCTAAAGATTGTGAAACAGTAGGTAAAGATGGGTTTGAAGATATAGAAGTGTGTGAAATGACACTGGAGAAGTAAGCAGACGAGAAGCTGCTGGTCGAGGAAACGTCAATCGCAGTGCTACCCGGCGCAGTGGGGGAATTGAGAGTAAACGTAGATTGTAGAAGGGGTGAAGAACTGCTGGCGATATATGAAGACGACATTGAGCTATTCTCCGCTGGCGGGCAAACTGGGGACCCCAACACGAAGATACACATCGATGAAGTCGTGAAAGCCCTCCTGCGGAGTATAAGTTGCTTAGTAGTGGCCGGTGAGTAGCAGAGACGACGCATCAAGCTCGCACCGGTGGAGATACGACCTCTGGACGCGAGCGTGGCACTTGTTGTCCGTTTCACTTCTGTAATAGAAGTGCAGAGTGCCTCATGCAAACATGGTGCTGCAAGCCAAGGCGAATGCAAGAGAGGCAGAGAGGCGTTCTGGACAAGGACTGTATGCATTCGAAAGAAAGCAGTGAGTATCGCCTTACACTGCATAGATGTCGCTTCTCAGATCGATGACCAATCTATCACAGTATGAGCGGGTCAATGACGGGTCTGCGTCTGCCGCAATCAACGATGTTGAGGTATGACTATTCGGATTTAGACGCATTGCGTGCTTAAAGGCATTGTAACATGGTGGATGGAAAATTCACACCTATCAGCACAAAAGTATGGAGTGTGAGCTGTGCACTTTAGAATACACAAACTCGATGCATTGACGGCACTCAGCCCGGGAAATAGTATTACCGTTTTCCTGCGATGTAATTGGTGCTACCAGACAACCATATCATAATGCTGAACTGTATACTCACTTGAGTATTAAAGACACATAAACCCTCGGTTGTTCGAGGTTTCATTGATATAAAGTAGCCTCAGGAATAAAAAGCACCGACCAGGAACCAAGAGAATGCAAGAAGGCGATGTTTTACCATGCAAGTCACAGATTATTGCGAGAGCAAACCAAGGCAGTTCTCAGTGCAATGAGTATACATTCAACACTGGAAACCTGGGCTCCGTGATGGAATGAGGGTGATCGTTCGATATCACAGCTAACAAAACGAAGCGCGAGGATATATCATTGGATGTATAAATATGGCCAAAGCACAAGGAGAACCGTACCTCACTTTTGTTTGCACGGACTGCTCTTTACTGTCCCCTCCGGTCCGCACAATAATATAGCGACCTGAACGCATCATCTCCGTGAGGCAGTAGACACCACTGGTATGACATTCAGTTTGCGTTTGTGCCGTCCTAGTGCGCCTATATGCAGAAGACGAGAAGGGATACCACAAACTCAAGCCATCCACATCAGTATAGCACATCGTTGTCCGGTCGCAAGTGTTATAGTCGTCACCAGACACCCGTGAGACTCAGGGTGGCTTCGATTAGCGCCCAATCCCGATCGAACTGTGTTGTCCACGGTGAGCCACCTTCCTGATGCTGTTCTCCTTCGTCGCTTCTTCCACAAGGGCCTTTACCTAGCACTGCACAGAGGGGCGTGCGCGGGCCGTTGAACCGGCTCATCGTGTCTACTCTACGACATAACTTATGCGTGAAGACACGTGGTCATCATTAAATGATCTCAGTTCTGGCTTTGTTACAACATCCTCCTGGTGCCGACTACGGCGCACACGGCCAATACAAAGTAAAACTGCTGGAGTGATCTGAGAAGAATATGAGGAGCTCGTATCTCTGAGGCCTAATTTATTTATGCGCCTGCTGTCACATTGTATGTCCGTGCGCCACCTGCACACCCTAGGTTTCCGGCAACGAAACCGTGACTTTTATGTTCTTGCGCCTGTTTATATGCTCAGAAAGCGCTAATTATACGTGCTGTTGTCTCTACTTATGGAAACGGTGCAGCACGAATAAAGTTGACACTGACCTCCGTTGTGCGCCTTGCAACGTCACAACTCATAAGTACATGGCCGGATTGCTGTGACTGAGAAGTTCGCGAGTGGATGCAAGCTTATCAATCAAGATCAGGAAAAGGGGGACACGCCATGTGCGTTAGCCACTGATGGCTCTTCCGAAGTGCCCTAGAACGACCGCGCCACTTGATCGAACCGACTGCTTTGGCCCGTGCGCCTTTTGTTCACCCCTTTTGTTCACCTTGTCTCAGAGTCAAAGCGACACTGCTGCGGTGGACCGTCGTATCCAGAGCTCCATAAAAGGCGGCTGCACCTGACGACCAGAAACCACCCCTCCCTCCTGGCTCAACAGTAATTCTCTGTTCCTCTCTCCCTCTCTGGATTCCACACACTAACGCCATGGGTCCTTTCAAGACGCTCGCTCGCTCGTTCCTGATTCAATCGTCAAGTTTGGTATCGACTCTATGCATAGCGTTTCGCAGAGTGCCCAGGACCGGAGAAGACGGGCTGATTGGCGTAAGACTTGGGGACCTCAACACCAACGTCAAGGCACAGATTGATCAAGCATGCGTTCCCTTGGACAGAAGATGGGGCGGTTCCCACATCACCATTAGAGTCGACGGATGCCTGCGTGTCATTGCATCCGCCTTCCCGCGTCCTTACTCCAGTTCACAATCTAGTTCGCCGATTTCGCGGGCCGGTTTGGCCCTTGAAATCAAAAAATTGTCCTAAGATGCCATCGTAGTGAGCACTTTCTTCGCTTTCCGGCCGATCTCCGGTCCTGATTTGTCTTGAAGAAACGCACCTATGCACGGCGTGAGACCGTGATTGCGCCCTCTGCCTCTGAGAGATCGCTCGTTGGTCCGACTAGGCTCACTTAGCGGACGTATATCTGATTCAAGTGGGCCTCATTTCTGGTTTCCATTATCCCTCATCGAGCTAAGCATACACATCAGACGACGACAATGTGTGGCGGGCAAATCGCAGAACAAGCTGTCCAATATGTCCCTGTGCACTATTCACATTCACAATAGAATACAATGCTAAGCACACCCTGCAACATTCAGATTACAATCTCCCGGAGAGTCCGACAAGACAAAGTCGGGATCCAACAAACTACACGTCAGTCGTTCTAAGACAGCGGTCGAACTGCTCTAGAAGTATCTCGACACTCGACATTCTTGACATGATGATTTAAGTAAGCTCTCGCATATGTTTAGAATGGCGTTCATATCGAGTGCTCATGCGGCATGCGTTGCACAGGCCACATTTGACACCTGCTTTCCAAGGCCTCCTCGATCGCGCGTCTCTTCGTTCGCCCATGGGAGGACATTACCTGCATAGAAACCTTAGTCTCAAGCATTTGAGAGGGAAAGCTGGCTGGCACCAAGTGTCGGTGCCCATGACTTGTCTATGAGACGCCAGAAAACATTGTATGGAGCATAATCACTACATGTGGTCCGTGCCAGACGCGGGACACCGCCAGGTATCTCATAATTCTTCCCACATCCGAACTCGTCTCAAGAGGCTACCGCTACCTTAACAGTGTTATCCCCTCTGTACCCACATAATTACATCGCCTGTGTACTGTATCGTGGCCGTGTGTTGTACCGCACCTCTAGTCATAATAGTAGAGATGTGTGACGGCCTCTGCGTTCTCTCAGGCTTGCAACCGCGAGGCTTTGCCTGTGGCCTACTGCATTGTATGGTGCAACTCGACACAGACTTTCCTGTATGCCGAGCGCGGCGGGGGTAGGAGAGTTGTCTGACCTCATGGGCCCCATAAGTGAGCGAGACCTCGTACTAACAATGTGTTACAGGTTATGACCCTCTGAGCCCATCGCGCTGTGATAGAAGACCACCAAAGCGCACTAGGTGGACTAACGCCTGCAGAGGATGGGTCTGAAGGGATGATACGGTGCTTCTGTTCTATTGCGTGGTTGACCGCCGCTCCAATTGTGACGTCCTCTGATGCTCATTGCTTCGATTTGGCAGGAAAAGGGCGTGGAACGCTCGAGTCCATCTACAGGGCGTGGCAGCCATGGAGCCCTAATCAAGTCTATGCAAGAAAGCAGCACTTGGCGATTTGTTTTGCAGCTTACGGTAGCATTTGTAACTGTTGCTAGGTGCCCCTCGTGTTCGAAAATAGCGACTGTCGTTCGATCAGTCAGAGTGCTCCTTGTGGACGACGTTTAGTGAAATAGCGACAAGGTTTCACGGAAAACGTCGGTTGTGTCATTGCAATAAAGAGTGTACGTTGCGAGCTAGAAGTTGGTGCATTCATATTGCTCTCGCTTGAAAACAGGCAAGAGGCAAGCGGCCAGGAAAAGCGATGTGATGCTGCTCGCAGAGTCGGCTTACGGCATGTCACGCTCGTGTATGATTGACTGGCCAGCGCTTAGCGAGGTGCAAACGTGACCAGGTCACGGCTTCAGTCCCGCATCTGGGCGCTTACGAACAGCGAAACGGCGGCGATGTTGAATTCCCTAATATTTACGTGCTTACCTTCAGTCGTTAGCTCCACGATGATATCTTCCTGAAAATGACTACAGCATACGCCTTCAATACAGTGTGCAACTGCCGCGGCGAATGTCGAGCAGGTGAACAGTACATATCTGTCACATCGTACGTCCGTACGCCACCTGCGCATCCCTGGCTTGCGGAACTGAATTCGTGATGCTTTCATTCTGAGCGCTGCACTGAGTCCGGGATAATTGTGCGCGGGTTTGCATATCGCTGTTCTTGTGGCACCGGAGCAGGACGAACGAGAAGCTCTCCGGCTGATTGATCATGCTCGCAAAAGGAGAGACGCGTGTGCTCCAGCCACAGGTGACTCTTTCAACGCGCGACCCTGATTGAATCGGTGTCTTTGGCCCGCGAGCCTTTTGTTCGCTTTGTCGCAAGTTGGGAACAATGTGACGTTGCTTCGGTGGACCGTCGCGGCCGGTGCTTCCTCATGTATAAAAGGCGACTGCGTCAGACGACCAGAACCATCCTCCTGCTCCTGCTCCTCTCTCTATGCCAAGATTCTACGCACTGACGGCATGTATTCCTTTCGAGACGCTTCCTCGTTCCTTCCCTTCCTGATCCAATCGTCAACTGTCGACTATGGAGAGACTCGACAACCTAGAAGTACCCATAGCGGCCGGCAAGCTCGACTAGGCAATGAACCCCGTCAGGAGAAACTGGGAGGATATAATATACACTGACATCAACGTATACCTATCCATTGTTGCATCGGCTTTCTGCCTCCTTACCATTATGCACTATCTAGTTCGCCGGGTATGCCGACCGCTGCAAGGTTGTCGAGATGATCAACGTTACCGGCAGGACCACCAGTGGGATTCCTCCGATCCTGACACCGTTGTCTATTCCTATTCATCGGTTCCATCAACGCCGCATAAGCACGATCTCGCAGACGAGCTTTCGGTGCATTGCTTACCTCAGACCAATGTTCAAGAAACTGTCGCACCAAGTTTATCCCATGTCGTCCCTGCTATGCGACAGCAGTCACAACATTCAAAGCGCGTGTCAGGATATGTAAAGCGATTTTCCAACTCATGGAAACTTTTTCGTCACCATTTCATGAAAAATGATTACGTGCGCGGGTCTGTACCGAGTTCGGAATGCTTGCAGAAGGTTATCAGTAAGTATCAACACGGGTCTCTCCTTGCCGTGCTGACAAACAGATTGTCGCTCGCAGGTTAAAAGTGGCAAAACATGGATCCGAATGCACACGATCAGTGGGATAAGATGGCTGCTTTAGTCGCAAGGCAGCATCGCCGAGACCACCCTGCATACACGTTTTCTCCACAACACACAAAAAAAGAGAACAGAAATAAGGCAGCCCCCATGGACGTGGTCGAGCGCACGCAGACCGCGCAGGACGTCAGGCTCCCCGAAATCACGGAAGAAAGGGCCGTGAGGGAAGAAGCGAGGTGGCATTCCCGAACGAGCATACACTTTTGCAGGGACATCATCTACAGAGATGCAACCCACGATGCCTTCAGCCAGTACAATCGAGACGCATTGTGCTTTGGCGAACAGTACATACAGGAGATGCAGTCCCAACAGTTTCCTGCATCCGCGCAAGCATCAGAATCGCCAAACTCCTACGTACCTCAATGTGCGGCGCCTCAGCCAATCCTTCAACACCTAAACCCCCTCTCGCAGTCCATTCCGATGGATGGGTTCACGAACAATGTCATTACACAGCCGGATGCAGAAAACCCCCCGTTGGACGAATTTGTGCGTGCATTCATCCACATCTCCCATACTTTGACTCAAGTCGAGTCTATCAGAGCGCTCTCTTTACTCCACTTGGCGAGTACCAAGCTCAACCGATGGGTTATAACGCCGGAGATACCATACTTGTTCCACCTATATACACCACGTCATCGGCATATTCCTCAGCGTCATTCTGTCCACATCTCATGACTCTATATTGCCCTTCTCAGCAGACAACACCATACACAGCATCGTCAGCTGAGGGCTCATACAGGGTCAGTCAATGCTACATATCAAGTTGTATGTCCTTCGCGATTCCTGGTACACCCGGGCAACAGCACTTGTTCGAACCAGTGTCGGAGAGGCTGCATTCGCTTGTGACAATGCAAGGCCCAGGCGTGTCACATCGTAGGCGTTCGGACTAACTCAACTCGCTTGAGGCCGAGACGCAGTATTGGAACGGTATATCATCTGGTAGTATGCCGCTGCATGAAAGGTGGTCACGTCAAATGCCCTCGGAATTTGAACAGCGAGGCAACTGGTCGCGTTCGGTGCCGCCACACATCACGGTACAGTGTCAGTAACCCAATTACCCATACGGTGCGCCCCGCCGTGCTCTCCTCGATACTCTGTGCTTCTCGCTGTCCTCGCTCGTGTCGTGACTGGCATGGCCAGCCTCGAACCTACCCTACCGCGTTCACTATCCGCACGGACAACTCCCTACACAGGACACTCCATGATCACAAACAGAGATATCTCACAGCTCTTCCCTCATCGATTTGCTCCAAGATGCTACCAGTACCTAAACAACAAAATCCCCCTTGTATCTACATTAGCCCCTCGCCTACGCAGTGTGTCGCTGTCATTTAGTGTATTGCGAGTGCTCGCAGCGTTCAGAATGTTACGCGATCCTATATGAGGACCAAGACAGCAAGTTGTTGGCGCATGTAGTCGGTGAATACCAGTCGTCTCGTTAGCATTCATGTTGGTGGGCTCTTTGAGATGTGGTACAATATGGATATGCTTTGTCGAGCGCATCACGCCGCAACGAGAGAGACCGTCAAAGCGCATGATAAGCAAGAACTGGTGATCGCTGTATGCGGTTCCTACCGATGGAGGCAGCACTGAACGTTGTACGGTGATCGCGCTGCCTCGGAGACGGCCCAACGCCTCTGATTCGTCAAGCTCGAGCGTGGGTTGCGCACGAAGCCCCTGATTGTACAGAAGACGAGGGATCTGGGCATGGAAGCCGGACGTCGGGTACGCACTCAGGGCATGTATTAGACGATGACGCGGGTGCTCCGAGAGGGGCCGACGCAATGCCGGTCCATTTATATGGAGAGGTTTCCCGTCATCATTTTGAAGTCGCGCTGCAAGTTTAAGTTCTGCAATCGCCTCTCAACACAGCTATCTAGCAGACAGAATCTCTCTCCATATACTCTCGACCCTCTACACAGTCGCGAACTCGTCCAATATCTCTCAGAAGTCAACACATAATCGTGGGGCCATCCATGCCTTCGAATCTGAGGAAGGTCCTTCTCCCAGCGACTCGTTCCTCAGCTCCAGAGCCTCGGGGCCTCGATTTTGGGTAATGCAGCTATGTCATCAGCTGCGATATTTCATATTATCGCTGACACGTATATCGCACTCGTTTGACATCGGTAAGGGTTCACTAGGGTACGCTTGTATTGTGTTCGTCTGTCTGCTATAATTGCACTACTGCGGTCACATCGTGGGCACAGAGTATTCGGGAGTTGGCTAGACCAAGATTTCTGCAAGTCTGTGCATCTGAATTATCCAGCCGATCTGTTAGAAATACTATGCATCGTCTTGACCATCTAATGTCATGATCAGGACAGCGGCCTGTGCCGTATTCAACCAAGAGATGTAGTCATTCCTGTGCGTTTCTGATCTGCTTAATCACATGTCCCGGACTTACTAGCCCTTATCCGTCGCTGCTGTGAGATGTGTGCAGCAGGTATGTGATGGCGGCGTGAAAGGTCTTTTGTGCTAAGAACACCGACTCACTCGGGCGCGAGGAGGTCAGCGTTCAAAGACCATGGGGCCTAGCGGCCCCCGGTTTGAAATAGCAATGACTACTGCCGGCGGACACCTTTTCGCGAGGAATGGGGTTAGCGCATACAAGTGACTAGTGTAAGTGAGTGGGCTAACTGATGTTTGCTTTATGTTCGTGTTCCCCGACCCCACCTGCATCCACTCGTCTCATGCCCTTTATCCGCATTGAACGGCCTGGCCGACCGTCACCATCCCCCTCGGGATTTTCTCAATTCGTCACCGTGAACGAGTGACACACCCACGTACACACAACGCCACGGCTGCTGCTCGCCCAGATACAATATGCAGCGCCGGGACTCACTGACACTCCTCTGTGCGCCCCTTTTCCTTCTCTTTCACATGCGCGTCCTTTGATCTCTCGTCTCCATGCTCTATGCTATTCGTCACTGACTCATACCGCGGAGCAGCCGACGAAGAGATGGGAGAAGCTATCTTGTGCTAGTCAAGACAAGTGGTGCATGTGGCGCGAGTAGTGGCCACGCGATAGGCGACAGCACCCGATGAACTGGTATGCGAATAGTGTTTTCTCGTTGTATTGCACCTGACCTTCGCGATCTGCAAAGATGTTCTTCCGCTATTGTACAATATGGATGGAACCAATGGAACAATGCTTTTCCCACTACAATTGCGCGCATGACAAGAAGCGGCCGTAGCACTCTCGGGCCTTTCCACAGTGTGTGGCGATCATAGAACCCTATGTCTAAGCGAAAGCCGTCCGTCAGCTGTAGACGGTCCAACAAAGGAACAACAAGGGACGAAGGCTTGTGACGATCGCACATCGCCGGAACGGTTCTAGCGGATAAATGATGTCGTGGGGAGAGGCACGGTACGCACTTTAGCCACTTTTAGCCACTGATGGGGCATTCACAGAACACCATCTGATCAAATCGCTCATTTCGTCCGGATCGCTTTTTGTTCTCCTTGTAGAAGCCCGGAGACAAGGCGACATTTCTGCGATGGCCCGTTGTGGCCAGCCCTTGCTGAGATATAAAAGGCGGCTGCGTTGGACAGCAGGAAACATCCGCCTCCTGGCAACATATCACTTTTCCGCTCCTCTCCAACTCGCAACTCGACGCACCGATGCCTTGGTATCCCTTCGACTTCGAAGCACTCATTCGCTCTCCCTTCCTGATCCAATCGTCATACACCGGCAGCCAAAGACGCCTGAGCGGCACCCGCCCTACTGTTGTCCTGGACTCCGTCTCAAAGATGTTCCCCGCTATCCCTATTTCTGACGGGTATAGTGCATACTATGAGACCCCGCAAGGGTCTACGAAGATACGGATCTCCTTTTCGCTGCATCCAGCGGAGGAATACATACGGACAACGATCACCACACGTATGTTTGCTCCTCCCCAAGTTGATCGCCCCTTGCGCGGGGATCTTGTCGAGCCGTTGTCGTCCGCGCGCAGGGTGTCTGGGTCCTCCATGCATCCTCCACAACAGACCGAGGAGGCCGAGCCGATCCCTTCTCCCACGCACACGCGCTCGCGACTGCGAAGGATTGAATCATGGGTCATGCATGAGAGGGGCAAGTGCACCATCTGCGGAGCAGCCGTACCCTCGACGAAAAGACACGCATATGTCGCAGTGGGCTATGGCGCCACACGAAGGCACATACGGCCAACACACACGGAAACCGGAGTTCTCTTTTCGCGCACTGGCGCGTAATTCATTCAACTCTGCTTTCTCTGTGCATGCGACCCGCATTCTCTCTCTTCACGCATCCTGCTGGCCCTCTCCACACGGGCCTGGTACACGCGCATCCATTGCGCACGGGAGAAGAACAGCGCACCCTCTGCGGGGAAGCATAGGCATTCAAGTGTCGTAGTGAGCTATGGACTACAATACTGGGTGCTTCGACATTGTGGCGCTCAGCGAAGCCATTCCGGGGCGCATGGTACGAACCGAAACGCGTCTGTTTCAATGATATACGCTCGGGTCCCACGAGACGTGGCATCACCATGCAAGACTGCCTCGACACTGTTGTCTCCCCACCAGTGCCACAGCGCATAGGACCGACTCGCTGGCGCGTCCATTACAGCCCACACTCGAAACCACCCTACCGAGTTCACTATCCCCGCGAACGATGCCCCACACAGGACACTCCGTGATCACAAACAGCGATATCTCATAGCTCTTCCCTCAGCGACTTGCTCCACGATGCTAGCACTACCTAAACAACGCACTGCGTCGGTCCTTCATAGCACCATCCACCGTCTTCCTATCACCATCAGTGCCACGCGCCACATATGCGCGCCTCTCGCCTCTGGTTCACCATTCGCTCTTCGACCCGCAGCGGCAAGCACGCCCTTCGTAGCCCGTGACCATGTTGTCTACGCTCGCACTGCTGTGTGTAGCGCAATCTCTACACACCCCTACGGACCTGCCTGCGCGACTAGAGAGGAACTGGGCGGCCAGTACCCCTTGCAGTTACACCACACAGACATTCTACAATCTTCTGTCCAGAGCGCGACACGCTACGACGCTGCACAGGACACCCCATCACTGCAACCAGCGATATCTCATAGCTCTTCCCTCACCGACATGCTCCACAATGCTACCACTACCTAAACAACACAATCTCCCCTGTATTCACATTATCCCCTTATCTGCGCCGTGTATCGTCGTCATGTAGTGTACCAGAGTGCAATACAATGTCTGCAGCACGACCATCTGTTTGTCGTGAGCCGCGCTGCAAGTGTGGCGCATGTCGCTGCGATAGAGCAAGGCTATCGATATTTGAGGAACAAGGATGTTTCTTCCTGCGTGGCATTCTGCGATCCTATATAAGTGTCAAGACAGCTTGTTAGCGCACGCAGTCGGTGGACACCAGTCGTCTCGTATGCACGTGAGACGGCATTGGTGGGCTCTTCGCCACGAGCGAGATGTTTCACATGATATGTACATGGGCAGGACCCATCGAGCCCATCACAGCGTAGCGAGAGACCATCAACGCGCATGATAAGCAAGACATGACGCTCGCTGTATGCGGTTGCTACCGTTGAAGGCAGCACTGGATATACACGGCGATCGCGCTGCTTCGGAGACGGCCCGGCGCGTCTGATGTGTCGAGCTGGAGCGTAAGTTGCGCACGAAGCACCTGATTGTAGAGAAGAGGAGGGATCAGGACACGGAAGCCGGACGACGGGTACGCACTCAAGGCACAGTGTGATAGACGAAGTGCCGCTGCAGTCAATCGGGGCGATGACACGGGCGCTCCGAGAGGGACGGACCCGGCGCTCTTCTCGAGCTCGCTGGCTTTATGTTTTTCTTCGCTTCATTCGTGTCCGCTTCCTCCTCGCGTCACGCGACATCTGCACGTGCTCGGACTCCGTCTCTTCAAATACACCGCCTGCCTCTTCGTCCTCGTCAACCTCCGCCAGAGGCCGCTCTCGTGGCACTGTGAGCGTCCTCGCCTCCGCCCACGCTCACCGTCTCACCCGCTTTCCAGTTCACGTACTCAGCACGCTAATCGCGCTGCGCCTGAAATCACATCTTCTGCGCCTTCGCCTCCTCCTCAATTCGCATCATGTCGAGCAGCGCGCCAAGGCGCAGTGGCTCGCGGCGTTGCCTCCGGTGGGAAAGAGCCCATTCGATGTCACGGTAGCTTGGGAAGGCTGGGAAAGTGAGTCTTCCCTCAGTTTCTTTTGACAATATGTTTCGTTTCCTCTATCCCTCGCGGATGCAGTCGACTTTGCTAGGCTTACAGTGGTCACTCGCGTGGAATTCGCTTTTGCTTACAGGTAATCCCCAGGATTATATCAACGGCCAGACGTCTATTCCTGCATCCCCCCTAGAGCCCGGGCGCACGTCAGCGCCGGCATGCTCGTGTCTCTACCTCCATGCGCAAGGATACTGCCCTCTACCAGCGGGATAATCCAAACGCTACACACGATGGACTTGCCAATATGTTCGGGGTGCGCCGCTCTACGGTGAGCCGTATTTTAGAGGATATGGACAATCGGATCTCACAAATATTGCAGGTTTTGGTATGCCTTGTGCATGATTGCTGGTGAATCTTACTGAACACAAACGATCTAGAGGATGATATGAGGAACTTCAGGCTGTGTCATTGCATCGCCAGGGGAGTGGTAATTGCCAATGGTACAAAGTACGAACGCGGGGCCGCTTTTGGGTTGGGTGGCCCAGACGTGTAGTCTGTCTCCAGGACGGCAAAGCATATCCTCGATAGATGTCCTGAAAGGCGGGAGGGCCTCAACGGCCAGACCTTCGTATCAAGAGACATCTCGCGTCTCGGCCCCCAGATTGCGGAACGTCGTATCATCGACCTGGCTGCGATAGCGGAGGAGATGTCCCCGTCACCGACGCCTGAGCCCCAGCCTGAATTACCCACCTCCACGAAACGCAGGTCTGACATACTCGAACAGCGGCGTGTGGATCTTACAACTCTTGCTACTGCTTTCTCCCGAACTCCCACCCCGGATCCACTGCCAGAATCCTCGCTTCCTCATACCCACCCTGTGCTTGACATTAACGCATCTGCTGCCACGGGTTCTCTGAGACCATTGCCTGCAGAGCGCCCCCCGTCGGCCTCTTTCCACGAGACGCTAGCTGGTCGCTCTTTGGACCATCAGCGTGCATCCGCCCTTGCGATCCCAGCATCCCCGCGATCTTCCACGTATCCAGAATCCCTTTCTACAATGCCGCCCGCATCCGGTCTGCAGGCACTCGCAATAGCTGCTACATTCGCTCGATTATCGTCTTTGCCTCGTTCGGAGGATTGGTATTTCACTAGCGACCACCAGACTACTCCGTCTGAGCGTAGATCCTCGTCGCCCATCGCACTGGCCCCGGTATCGCACACGCGGAACGAGAGGTATCAAGCTGGTCGGTCGCCGGATCCTGGCGCTGGCCTTGCTCTTCGTCAAGGAGGTGCGCTTCTAGAACCCATAAGCAATGTGCGGGACGCGTTGCAATGCTTCGACCAGGTCATGGTGTATACGAGTACGGAAAATCTGAATCTACTGCCGACCTGCCGCGACCACCTTTCCGTCGTGCGACGCGCTCTTGTCTCGGAAGTCGCGAAGACTGCAACTGGATAGGCGTGATCAGATCGAGTATCTGTGGTCACCTCTCCGGCTGGAGGCATCACCCAAGATAGAGTCAAGGCGGTTACTTCGCTTTGGCTCCAGTCTATGCATCGATGCCATGAAGCGTCTCCGAAACACGGTAACCTCAGGAGCCTCTGTTTGGTGGCCGCTCGAGGTATCGCTCCGACTTCCTTCGCCGGCTGGCATTTTTCGTTCTTCAGCTCCACTTCCGAGGCCAGGTTCTCTGCCACTGGTATTCATTCTGCCATCGTAGCTAGGACGACATGGTGAAGAGCTTTTGCTGTACTTCACCACACCTGATTGGATAGTGTATTCCTCACCTTGTACTCCGTAACATGAAACAGCACGATTTGATTTCCAGCCCTCTCGTGCTACGAGTCCCGTGACGAAGGACGTCGGTGCGTCTGCCTTGCGACGTCACTGCGCCCACTTCGGCAGAGTGGTATTAGGGCATATTGAAACTTCCGTGTACAACAGAGCCGAACTGTCTTGACACTCGATATCATCGACATGACGACTCAGTAAGCTCAATCGCATCGACCTGATCATGCAGAATGCGTTGCACAGACCACGATCGATGCCTGCTCTTCAAGGCCTCTTCGATCGCGTGTCTTCGTCCACCCATGGGAGGACATTATCATCCTATGAATTCTAGTCCCAGCTTGAGAGGGCTTGCGTCATGTCACAACTGTGTAATTACCTATTATGATTGGCCGGACAAAGCGAAACGGCGGCAATTTTCAATTGCCGTAGAGTTTATGTGTTTTCCTTCAGTCGTTAGCTCCATGATGATATCTTCCTGACACTGGCTACAGTATACACCTTCAATACAGTGTGCAACTGCCGCGGCGAATGTCGAGCAGATGAACAATTCATATCTGGATCATACGTCTCCTGTCACATGGTACGTTCGTACACCACCTGCGCATCCCAGGCTCGCAGAACCGGATTTCTGATGCTTGTATTCTTAGCGCTGCGGTAAATCCAGGACAAATATGCGCGAATTTGCATACCGCCGTTCTTGTGGCATCGGAGCAGGACGATCGAGAAGCTCGCCGGCTGATTGATCATGCTCGCAAAAGGAGAGACGCGTGTGCCCCAGCCACAGGTGGCTCTTTCAGCGCGCGCCCCTGATCAAATCGGTGGCTTTGGCCCGCGACCCTTTTGTTCGCTTTGTCGCAAAATGGGAACAAGGTGACGTTGTTTCGGTGGACCGTCGTGGCCGGTGCTTCCTCACATATAAAAGGCGACTGCATCAGACGACTGAAATCATCTTCCACCTTCCTCCTGCCCCAGTAGCTGTTCACCGCTCCTCTCTCCAACTCGAGATTCTACGCATCGACAGCATGTGCTGTTTTCGAGACGTTCCCTCGCACCTCCCCTTCCTGATTCAATCGTCAACTGTTGAGTATGCATGCACGTTGTTACACCGACTTGCTACCTCCTCACCATCGTGCACTATCTAGTTCGCCGGGTATCCCGACAGCTGCAAGGTTGTCGAGACAATCAAGTTTGCCGGCGAGATCGTGTCAAGGGCGGAATTGGCCCTCAAGGTAAGGAAGTCAGTCGACAAGGCTGTCAGAGTGAGTGTTTGCATGCCTTCGGAATGACCACCATTCTGATCTATTCTGCAGCTATGTCGTGGGGTTTACACGGTGCTGGTTACAAATCCGGCCACGGAGCCACTTACAAACTCCAGGCCGATGGACGACGCTGAACCGTTCAACGGTTCCATACCGTTCACCGGCCTTGACGCCCTAGTCGCAGGTGATCTGTATCTGGTGAGGTTGGACCAGGTGGGCCCAAACCGTTGGCAGTCGGCTGTCGAGTAAGTGATTCCACACTCTGCGAACAATTCTATCCTGAATGATTATGCAGAAATGCGCTATCGCCTTTGCTATCATGGCCTCGGTGAATAATTGCACGCAAGGCATTGTGTTCCAGCAGAACACAAACAGCATAATGAGGCAACCTGGGTTTCAACCTCAAGCCCCCATCGTCTTTGCGTGCGGCAAGGATAAGACCCCTGTTCAGCTTTTCGGAACGAGAACGCCTGAAGTCGGCGACCTGCTCCGTGCGACAGAACCGCTCCGCCACAACAGGGATGGTCCCAGTATACGCATCTCCGTCCATGTATGTATTTGCATTTGAGCGCCACTCTGTCTCAGCTCTGATGACAAGACATGATTCAGCTCCTCGGCTACTCCGAGTACGGGTTTGTGTTTAAGGACATACCAATCGAAGGCCTCACGCGACTCGACCTTGCGTCGGTGGTACAGGACGTCACACGCAGGGTAATACAAGTGAGTAATCGCACTCAAAAAGATGGCTGTCGATCTGAACTTCCGTATAGCAACGTGGTTATTGTCGCGCGGATGCAGTCACCATTCCCGCCCGCCGAGAAGAGCTTCGCTGGGGTTGGTAACCGCCTCTGCGACGGTCCCTTGCAACACTGGAACAGGCGCGGAGGCGGTCATTGCTCCCGCCGAGGAGAGCCTCGACGGGGTTGGTGACCACCTTTGCGACATGTTCTTTACGCATCAGTTCAGGTATGTCCTTGCCATTAGAGACCCATCCTCTGCTATCTGCGTCCGAAGCCATCAGGCTGCTGGAGAGCTGACAACACCAGGTCCATTTCACTCAGCCACCTCGTTGGGTAATGCTCCGAGGAGCGTGTCGTAAAAGAGCTCATGGCAGCTGTGAGTTAGTAAGAGGGAACCCGGACGCCGCGAGCACGCGTAGACACTTTAGTGCTCTCAAGCAAATATAAAGCATATGTGAACAGCTTGTATGCACACATCGCACAAACAGAAGGTACTGGAGGGCTTGAAGATCATGACTGTCCGCTTTGAGCGGTCTGGCGTGAGGGCTGAATCTCGAATCGACGTACCGGCGTGGACGCCCACTCAACTCGGCTTAAGGCGTCTCTTTGATCCTTTTGCCTAATGGCAGATTTGAGGCAGACCACCGAGCAGAACTGGTAGCTGAGTGATCGGCGGCTGCCTCATTCGGACAACCACGTGATCACGACACGAGCCGAACACAAGCCGTGTGAACTTTGAAGTCTATAATGTCCTCTTCGAGTTACAGCAAATGGCCAAACAAGGTCATTTTATTGATCCACTGTCGCTGTTCACACGTCTGCCCGTTCTCCCATCCGCATCCCGAATGGACTGTGGTCCTAGCCTCTTCTCATGCCAACATAAGGAGTCCGGAAATCTGACGACGCCGGTGGATGCCTTATCTCAAGAAGACAATTGGAGGCTTGTTACAAGACATTACAAACAGGTGAGCTCGTCGTAGTCTTCTGCTGTCATCTCTAGTGAGTCGTATCAGCCCCCTCCGACACATCAACGTCCTCCAGCAGGGCCTCCATCTCGTCGTCGTAGAGAAACTGACGCAAAATGTCCAGGATCTCCTCGTTCAAGCCCGGAGGTCCCACCCGACCGCCGCTCGCAACACTTCCATTACCAGGATCCTCTCTCGCTTCAGCCTGCTTGGCACAGCGCTTTAAGTAGTCCTCGCATGCGTTCTGACCATTGCGATGGCGTTTCAGTGCATCCAACCGAGGGAAGCGCATGCCGCATGAATCGCAGACGTGCTTCTTGACCTTGAAGCATTGCAGCAGGTGACGGCGGAAATCTCTCCGGGTGTCGAACGACCATTCGCAGGTCCGAAGAGGGCACGCATATGCTTTCTTGTTTTTGGGTGGCTCCCTTTTCATTTTGCGCCTGTCTCCGTCGGCATCGGAGTTGACATCATGATCGGTGTCTCCGTCGTCGTCATCGCCTTTGCTGTAGCCCAACCTTTGCTTCTTAGCTATACGGCGGTGCTGCACCCGTATGCTTTCATTTTGGACTGAGGGTCCAGGCTCGTCGACACCGGTGCTGGCAATAGCGCATTCCTTGCGCTTTTCTGCTGCGGTGAATCGTGGAGGGGGAGGCAACCGGGGCTGAGTAGTTCGATGCGATGAGCTCTGCGGGCTTCGTTCCAAGACGTTGCTCATTTTGGCGGTGTGCAACGTCGACGGCTCGCACTCGTTGCTTTGTGTATACTGTCTCGCACGGGCAGCTCCAGTCACAGTCGCCGACTGGATCCTCCGGTGAACTGATTTATCTATCGAGTCTTCGTCACTTCGATTGTCATTGCTGTATAGCTCAGCATTCTCGGCAGAGGCATCATCGTGTCCTGCTTCAAGGTCGCCCTTGCCCTGTGTGTGCAGGGAAGGGGATCCGGCGCAGAACACGCTAGACATCTTCGAGGTCAGACCAGATGATGTGGCGAAGGCGTTGCTTGTTGGCGAGGTGCGGATTTGGGTGGAGCGAGCGATAAGCGAGGGGATACTCGCGCCGGGGTTTGCGCTGGACTGTGGAACACGGGGTAGCCACTTGGAGCCATTCCAGTATGGCAGAGATGGGTCCATACGCGTTTTTACAGGGGTGATTGGCAGGGCTTGCTCCGTTGTTGAGCGCGATGGCTGCGTTGAAATGCGAGTCAGTCACGGTGCTAAGAGAGGTGATCGACAATACATACTTGGCCTCCGTCTGATGGACGTGCCTGAAGATCCCTACCAGACAGTCCCTCGTACCCCAAATTCTTGGGAATCAAGGATTGACTGTGGCCTGTGGCGCCGTACGACCGCTCGTGGTGCGACTGGATACCAGTGTGTGGCGCCACTGACAAGTGTTTGCAAGTGCATAGCCCAATGAAATGGCGGAGCTGATGTTCCACGAAATGGTAGTCGTCAACGATGGTGTCTGTCTGGTTGGACCATACTACGAGCACCTGATCTTCGCGCTGAGCTGCAGCATCAGCGCGCTGGATACACTGAAATCGTGGGAACTACCTACCACGAGTGCACCATCGTACATAATGGCATCTTCTAGGAACTCGAATGAGGTCACAATGGGGATATCAACATCGCCCATATCAATTCTTGTAGCCAAAGGGCTGGGCGGATGGTGAGGTCTAGGAGATGTTTTCCGCCAAAATGCTTACTAGTAATGCAATATATCGAGTATGGCCTGCGTCCTGGCCGTGACAGCGACCTTGTAACCCATATTGGAGACCGCGTCTTTGAAAGGCAGACCGGAGTTGTGGGATGTGAGGACGCGCTGGTGGGTGCGTAGGACCACAGCTGCATGGTGTTGATCGGAAGAGATGTCTACGAGACACTCCTCGAGGATCTGTAGTGTGATAGACTGGGGTAAATCCATGGCGGTCAATGGTGAAGCTAGGTGTCAAAGCACGCTTGTGGCTGAAATGTGGCTGTGGGTCGTTGACTATAAGCATCCTCTCCGCTTTCGAAGTCCGCATGCTGATGGATTGTTGTCAGGGATTGGACTAAGAACCTAGCCCGGTAAGGTAAGCTTCCACCACTTTGCATTCTTCTTTGTAGAGAAGCAGCATGCCGACAAGTAAATATGTTCCTTGATCTCAGATTGTGTGGAGTGCTATGTAGAGTACTGATAGCAGAAGCGACGAAAAGTTCCACATGTGAACCTTGAATAGCCGTCGTGCTATAGAGAGAAGGCCGTTAAAGCGCATAGAGAGGAACACCTAGAGAAATGTATCGGTCAGGTATGTCTCCATTCCTCCGCGATACACTCAAAGCCGTATATATTCACTCCATACGGCTCAACGAAAGTCCAATCTTCGACACTATTTTGCACCCCCGATTTGCAACTCGCAGGCATTGGACAAATCTAAGGCGTACTAGTACAGGTCATAATCTCGCTCTTGTCCTCCTCCTACACTGCGTGTATGCCAGCAAGCGGCCGTGGCGCGCTCGGGCCCATTCACAATGTGCGGCGATCATAGACCCTTATGTTTATAAGCGGAAATCCGCCTGGCAGCTGTTGATGGTCCAGTGAGGCGACAACAAGGGACGAAGGTTATGGCGAGCGCCTGCTGCCTCTCCGGGACCGTCACGGCAAGCATTTCGGCCGCCTTTAGCCACTGATGGGTCTTTCACAGGACACCACCTGATCAGATCACTCGCTTTGGCCCGATCGCCTCTTGTTCTCCTTGTGCAAACGTGAGAACAAGGCGACGCTTCTGCGGTGGACCGTGGTGGCCACAGCTTGCTGAGATATAAAAGGCAGCTGCGTTGGATGACAAGAACCATCCGCCTCTTTTCCCTGTGGCTGTATATCATTTTTCCACTCCTCTTCAACTCACAACTTGACGCAACGATACCATGGGGTTCCTTCGACTTCGAGGCGCTCGCTCGCTCTCCCTTCCTGATCCAATCGTCATACACCGGCGGCCAAAGACACACCCGAGAAACCTGGTGCGTATGTCATGCCAACGACCGAGAGTCGAAGACATTCTAGTCTTCGCTCCGACAGGCACCCTTAGAGGAAAGAGTGTGCAGCTACTAACGGCTTTCCAAAAAGGGCTTGTCGAAGTTGTCATATGCGACGCGACAAAACCTGTGACTCGGGCTTGGAGTGGCACCTTTATTAAGATGCATGTATGTACTTAACATTATCACGCTGTTCATACCCATGCTCATCCTTGGTTCTGCAGTGTGCCATGACGTATATGCTGCTAGCTTGCGCTTATGGCGACGGGGACCACGGTGGACTGGGATATGCCCCGTGAATAGCCGGGCGTACAGGCCTCTGTCATGACCATGCAGGGGCTGACGCTAAAGGAGATGGGTGCATGGGTGTACACCACGTATTGCCACGCGCCACATAGGCCCGGTTCGCTTCAGCAACGTCTCACTCCGTCGTGACGTCCTCTATGCAGCGACCCCCCATGGACCAAGCCGCACCTGGTGCACAGCCAGCTCGCAGGATGCTCTTAGCGCCCGAGTACACACTCAGATGCCTCCGCCTCAAGACACTCACCTTCAGCTACGACCCCTTCCTCACTGCAATCCTCTCTGAGTTCATCTACGTCTTTCTGCAGGTAGCGACTATCTCTCGCTCACTGCGCGTGTGGATGTGGTCGAGCTGTTGTCGTTCGCGCGCACCCTCCATGCACCCTCCACAACAGACCGAGAAGGCCGGACCGCTCTCCTCCCCTATGCACACGCGCTCGCGACTGCGAAGGATTGAATCATGGGTCATGCATGAGAGGGGCAAGTGCACCATCTGCGGAGCAGCCGTACCCTCCGCGAAAAGGCACGCATATGTCGCAGTGGGCTATGGCGCCACACGAAGGCACATACGGCCAACACACACGGAAACCGGAGTTCTCTTTTCGCGCACTGGCGCGTAATTTATCCAACTCTGCTTTCTCTGTGCATGCGACCCGCATTCTCTCTGTTCACGCATCCTGCTGGCCCTCTCCACACGGGCCTGGTACACGCGCATCCATTGCGCACGGGAGAAGAACAGCGCACCCTCTGCGGGGAAGCATAGGCATTCAAGTGTCGTAGTGAGCTATGGGCTACAATACTGGGTGCTTCGACATTGTGACGCTCAGCGAAGCCGTTCCGGGGCGCATGGTACGAACCGAAACGCGTCTGTTTCAATGATATACGCTCGGGTCCCACGAGACGTGGCATCGCCATGCAAGACTGCCTCGACACTGCGGTCTACCCAACGGTGCCACAGCGCATCGGACCGACTCGCTGGCGCGTTCATCACAGCCCACACTCGAACCCACCCTACCGAGTTCACTATCCTCGCGAACGATGCGCCACATAGGACACTCCGTGATCACAAACAGCGATATCTCATAGCTCTTCCCTCACCGACATGCTCCACGATGCTAGCACTACCTAAACAACACACTGCGTCGGTCCTTCATAGCACCATCGACTGTCTTTCTATCACCATCAGTGCCACGCGCCACATACGCGCGCCTCTCGCCCCTGGTTCGCCATTCGCTCTTCGACCCGCAGCGGCAAGCACGCCCTCCATAGTCCGTGTCCCATATTGACCACGCTCGCACTGCTGTGTGTAGCGCAATCTCTACACACCCCTACGGACCTGCCTGCGAGACTAGAGAGGAACTGGGCGGCCAGTACCCCTTGCAGTTACACCACACAGACATTCTACAATCTTCTGTCCAGAGCGTGACACGCTACGGCGCTGCACAGGACACCCAATAATTGCAACCAGCAATATCTCATAGCTCTTCCCTCACCGACATGCTCCACGATGCTACCACTACCTAAACAACACAGTCTCCCCTGTATTCACATTATCCCCTTACCTGTGCCGTGTATCGTCGTCATGTAGTGTACCAGAGTGCAATAGAATGTCTGCAGCACGCCCATCTGTTTGTCGTGAGCCGCGCTGCAAGTGTGGCGCATGTCGCTGTTGGAGAGCAAGGCTGTCGATATCTGAGAGAAAGGGATGCGCCTGCCTGCGGGATACTCTACGGCACTATGATATAGGAATCAAAGAGCTTGTTGGTGCACGTAGTCGAAGACTAGTCGTCTCGCAAGGGCTCCTCGAGACATGTCACACCATGGATATGTCAAGCGCATGACACCACAGCGAGAAACCATCTATGTGCATGACAAGCAAGGCACGGTGCTCGCTGTACTTATGCGATTCCTACTGTGGAGCATTGGATGTCTAGGGCAAGTCTAGGGTGATCGCGCTGGTTGTAAGCTCAAAATAGCGAGCGTATTGGAACAACTGGGCGAGGCCATGCCCGACTACCGGCTCGCCGACGTGCCGCGCTGCGGCGCGATAGTGCCTTGTTCCTTTGTACCTTATTTAGATAAGGTTTTGCTATATTAGGCCGAGTTCCCGCATGTAGTTTCCTCGCGCGTTTGCCTCCCCGCCCCGAGGACGAGACAAACCGCTTCGTATTTGATCTTTTCCCGCGCCGCTCGCTTTCGTAAACCTTCGCGCTCGCTCGCTCGAACCCGACGCCGACACTCGTTTCTACAGAGCGTCGGTGCGCCATATACAATGTACATTTGGATATGATAGCACGAGGGCAGGGCGACCTCCAATCCTGCACCCGCACGATAGCTCGCTCGCACTCCCTGTTGAAACGCGCAGCCCCGCGTGGTCAGGAACGAGCTCGAAAGCTCGGGCGCGCGAGTAGCCGGGGGCCGGAGGCCCCTATCGCAGTATATAATGACCGCGCGCGATGTACATACTGCACGCGATTGTCCCTTACGGGCATCGCTACGCCCGTGGACAAATGCGCCTCGCGCCGTTCGCACCCTTGTTCCAACACTCCCCCTCTTCCATGCCACCGGACAGCCAAAGACACCAGTTTTGGACAGCACACACATGTACTATCCTGCATAAGGCGACGCCCTTCAGCGGTTATAAAATTTACGATCTAGTGGAATGAACTGCCGTGACTCAAGATAGCGAGCGCCGCGCTCTTGGACGAGATGTACGTCGCGGGCCATTACCATATTAGGTAAATGCTATACTCTCGAATGTGGCGCGCTCGCGCTTAGTCACCATGTGCGACGATCATAGAACCCTATGTTGAGTGGAAAGCCGGCTGACGGTCCAGCGAAGCGATTCAAGAACGAAGCTCACGCTGAGCGCCTGTTGCCTCTCGGCACATCTAGCCACTAGCCACTGATGGGTCATCCACTGTGCGCCGCCTGATCAGACCGCTCGCTTTGGCCCGGTCGCCTTTTGTTCTCTTTGTGGACATGTGGAGACAAAGCGACGCTTCTGCGGTGGACCGTCGTGGCTAGCGCTTGCTTGCTGAGATTTAAAAGGCGGCTGCGTTGGACGACAAGCATCATCCGCCTCCCCTCGACATCACTTTCCCACTCTTCTTCCCTCCAAATCGTAACTCTGCACACGGATGCCATGAGATATGACCGACCTCAAGGTGCTCGCTCGCTCTCCTTTCCTGATTCAATCGTCACACACCGCCAACCAAAGACGCGCAAATGCCACGCGCATTACGTTCCTGCGTCCTCAAGACTCCTTTGATCGCGCTAACTTCGTCCGAGACAGTATCGTCTTCGTCCCGACAGGAAGCATAAAGGGCAAAGGTGTACAATCGACAGCCCTGCAACGAGGGCTTATCCGTGGATGTGACTCACGAACCGCGGGGAGTGCAAATATCCATAATGTGGCCTTCCTTCAGCACACGCGCGCGTGACCGCGGCAGGTCAAGGCCGAAGTTCTGAACCCCAAGGCCTCGATCGCGCACGGCAAGCCCATATTTGCCGTCTGCGTGCAGGCAACCCAGTGTTGTAGTGAGCTATGGCGACACATGAAGGCCTATCCGGCCCACGCGCACGGGACCAGAACGATGACCCTCAGGGCCTCAATCGCGCACGGGACACGAACGGCGCACGATCTCTGCGGGCAGGCGTCCCAGTGTCGTACTGACCTATGCGCAGCGCTCGTCAGACCAGGTACCCCGACATTGTGGCGCCCAGCGAAGCCGTTCCACCGGGCCACGATCCCCGACGCATCTGTTTCAATGATATGCGCTCGGGTGCCACGAGACGTGGGATTATCATGCAAGACTACCTCGGTCCTGCGAGGTCCCTACGGGTACCACAGCGCATAGGACCGACTCGCTGGCGCATTCTCTACAGCAGCGACCCGGCCAGAACACCCTTCTGAAGCCTGCGCCTCATCGCCCTACCGCGGTCACTATCTCCGCGAACGATGCCCCACACAGGACACTCCGTGATCACAAACAGCGATATCTCCCAGCTCTTCCCTCATTGATGTGCTCCACGATGCTACCACTACCTAAACAACACACTGGCACTGCGCCCGTCCTTCATAGCGCCATCCACCGTCTTCATATCACACTCAGTGCCATGCGCCACATACGCGTGCCTCCCGCCTCTGGTTCGCCATTCGCTCTTCGACCCGCAGCGGCAAGCACGCCCTTCGTAGTCCGTGTCCCATATTGTCCACGCTCGCACTGCTGTGTGTAGCGCAATCTCTACACACCCCTATGGACCTGCGTGCACGACTAGAGAGGGACTGGGCGGCCAGTACCCCTTGCAGTCACACCACACAGATGTTCTACGATCTTCCGGCCAGAGCGCAATCCCTGCGCACGCCACGACGCTGCACAGGACACCCCATAATTGCAACCAGCGATATCTCATAGCTCTTCCCTCACCGACATGCTCCACAATGCTACCACTGCCTAAACAACACAATCTCCCCTGTATTCACATTAGCCCCTGGCCTGCGCAGCATATTGTTGCCATGTAGTGTACCAGTGTGCTCGCAATACCATGTCTGCAGGCGATTATCTGTCCGTCGTGAGCCGCGCTGCAAGTGTGGCGCATGTCGCTGTGGGAGAGCAAGGCTGTCGATATCTGAGAGAAAGGGATGCGCCTGCCTGCGGGACACTCTACGGCACTATGATATAAGAATCAAGACAGCTTGTGGGCGCATGTCGTCGGGGCCAGTGGATATCAGTCATCTCGTAAGGGCTTTTCGAGATATGCCACACCATGTCTTATCGAGCACATCGTGCTGCCACGAGAGAGCGACACAGCACATTGTATCGGCAAGGAAAGCATGATGCTCGGTGTATGCCGTTTCCACTGTTGGAGGCAGCACTGACTGTTTACTGTGCCAGGTTCTCGCGCTGCTTGTTGTATGCTCATCATAGCGAGCTTCAGTCCGTAACGTACAATGCACCCTTTGACAGTCCAAGGGCAGGATGACCCACTCACCTCCCCTCCTGCACGTGCACAATAGTTTGCTCGCGCTCCCTGTTTACGTCGCTTCGGAACACGTGTAGTAATCCGGCG